CTACCGTAAAGTGCTCGACTTCGCGCGCAGGTCGTCGGGCTACCGAAGCGGGGGTGCCATCCTCTCCGCAGAGGATCAAAATTGTGATGGCATGTCTTCGGATCATCCTCCAGAATGTTTCCCAGACCGTCACCAATAGCCCATTGTGCAGCTCTAGTGCGACGTAAATCAACAACAACAACATATTATTGTACTGATTTTAATTATAATCTTGTGAGCAAGATTATACTTGCTCTTCAAATCTTTAGATTTGAGCCCTAAAAAGCGTTTTGAAAATATGCTTTCGCATTCTTTTTTTTCAACATACATTATATTTTATAAGTAAATTACATTTGTATTTTATAATTATATACATTTTTATTAATTTGAAAATGAACTATTGTGTTTTTCTGTTCAGGAAAAAGATTGGGGAATCTTAGAAATGGTCCTAACAGAGCTACCTAACTTTTTGAAAAATAAATCACTTGTTGTTCGTGGAAATTGCAGTATTTCTTCTTTGTGCTCAACTTTATGTGTCATGGTAAATATATTTGTCAATGTGCAATTGTATTTTTCATTTGTGTAATTTGATTTTTATGTACGATGACTTCTAATTAATGTGTGCATTCTAGCAACTTGGAAATTAACTTTAAATATTTTAACAACACCCACTAGTAAATAAAAAAGTGAATAATTCAAAATCCTATTCACCACACTATCAATATATAGCATTTAACTCATTTATAGTAGTTTAATTATTATTCCTTTATAAAAATTTGTTTTGTCACACTTTAAATTTTGCTACGCAATAAAGGAACAATTTTTTTTTATTTTATTATCGTACCATTCCATAAAATAAGTCCACCATAAAAGTAAATGTTTATGTATCTTTCAATCTTTGAAGTATGATTCTCCTTTGCAAGCTGTGTAATTCATATAAGCCATTCATATGGAGCATTATAGTTACATGAGAGATTTCCAGGGTTATTTAATATATTATTCAGGAATAAGAATTAGTAATGATATCTGTAACCGTAACTCAAGAGTTGTCCAAATTGTAGATAATCGCATAGCAAAAACATGATTATTTTCAAGTTAGTTATTAAACAGTTGCTATGAGCTGTAATTTTGAGTTAGAAACATTGTTAGCTACATGAAAAAATCCATTAAATGAAATAAAATATTTGTATTGTATAACGTTTATAGACTTTGTGAAAGAGTCAATTTGCTACAACTTGAAGTATAATATAGCTGAAAAGAATAATAAAAACTATAATTTTTTTTCTTCCTTCTTCAATCTGTGCACAATGGACTTAATCAATCAGAGCAAATTGAGTCTGTAAGAAATAAAGAGATAATCTTTGTGGGGAATGCATAATCTTGTTTTTTTTTTCTTCTATATTGTTTGTGTTGTCAATATCAAAACTCTTCTGTGTTACTTTAATGGAATTATTTTTTTGATAAAATTAATTAAAATAATTAATAACTTTTTTGGAATTTAGAAATGAAAGCATTCAATGTAAATCAATGAATTCAAATTTACGCCATTCATTTTAAACCCACATCATGAGCATTGCAATGTTTGAAATTTTTACGAGTTCAAAATAAAAATTCACAGTCACAATATTTCTCTAAATTTTACAGATAAGAAAAAAAATGTTTTATATCTGTTAAATAAGTGCAAAAAGATTATTTTTATCCCTTTTTTTTTTAACTTTAAATAACTTAAATCAATGATGACTCATCAAAATTTTCTTCACTTGACTGAAATATTGAGGGGGACTTTTAGAGATTTCTATTTAATTACTACTGTCTCTCTGCCAACAATACTCATGCACAAAATTCTGGAGGAGCATAGTGGTTCATTATTTTCTCTTAGAACTTGTGTGAAATAAATTTTTAAAGATGTCTAAGCAAAAGTTAAAATCTCTCAACTTGGTTGTTAAAATTAAATATTGATGTGTAGAATTTCCCTAAATACTTATTTGAATTAAAAAAGTTTCACTAAGGAAACAGAAAAATTAAAGCAGGACTTATTAAAACATTATTAAAAAACTTATTAAAACAGGACTGTTATTATTCTAAAGTGGAGAATCAAAATTGTAAATTGTAAGTTAAACTTCATCAGCCTATCCAATGAGAAGTATTTTTAATTGTCTTTAATACTTTCTTTGTGCTTCACTTTACTTAATTGTAATATTTTTCATTTTGTGTAATTTTTACTTCTATATTTTATCTAAGGTGAATGATCGAAACTATGGTTTTCCTGATTCTCTGAAAAATACTCCACCAAAACTCAGCCGCACTGACATTCACACACTCATATTTCCTATTGTGTCCGCTCTTACTTCATATCATGGTAAAATGGAACCCCACATGCAGGTAATTTTTCATCTATGAATTTTGTAACATTTCACTACAGCACTTTTAATAAAACTGTCAATTCTAAGTTTTTTTATGTCATACACCTTGTTTTTGTAGATCAAGAAGTAGTTATAGATATATCAAAACCTTTTAAATATAGTCTACCATTCAATATTGTTCTGCCTATCTTATTACGGAAATTATAACAATATTTGCACAACAGCTTGCAATTCTCTAAAACAACAGTTCCCAATTTTTTGCAGGTGCGGAACCCTAAATAATTTGACGGCTCCCCGACTTTATAAATAATGAAGTATATAAAATAAAGCATACAAAATCAAGTGTTATTTTATTAACCAATAAAAAAACTACTTTATTTTAAAAATATTTTTGAATGTGTTTTTTTTAATAATATTAAATTGGGTTTTATATCCAACAGTTTAATTTGCACTTCTGGGGCTGTACTTAATTTGGTTTTGAATTCCTTTTTGGAGGTAAATACATAAGTAGAGATTAATCAAATAAGCTGCATTATATTTTTTGTTGAAATTAAAGCCGAAAGAACTGCTTTAAATGTTGAAATCAATAACCAGGGAAACATATTTCTTTATTAACGAATTTAGTTATTTTTATTTAGTTATTTACTATATGAAACAATATGGAATTTTATTTTATGACCGTCGATGAACAGCTAACCCAATTTTGGGTTTACAACTACTATTGTTCAACTCCATAGCCTTGTAATTTAGAACACAATCCGGGAGACGAGGAAACTCCTGGATCAAGTCTTCGGAAAAATTTGCCTTTGTGCAGGACTTTTTGATGGAACTAACCTGCATTTGCCTTACATAGAGAGGAAAATCACGAAAAACTCCCTCGGTTAGCCTGGCAGCAAAGGGACTCTAACCCATGATCCGTCTACCACTGAGAACATTTTGCGTTAGCACTGTTGTTGGTGCGGAATTCTTGTGTACCAACCATAGCTGGGATTCAAACCCGTTTCACCTTATTGGAAGGCAAACACTCTATTCTCTGTGCCACTCAGATTAATATGTTTTAGATTGCTGGTTAACTTTTAATTCTATTTTGTATTGGTATCTTTCTTTCAGAGGCTGCTCATTAAATGCCTTCAAACAGGCTTGGTATCAAGAAGTGCAAAGATCTGCATGGAAGGGCTAACTTTGTGCACTTTGGAAATGCAAAATTCTATGGTGAAGCTTCTACCTGATGTGTTATTGAAACTATCCAAAATTTCTGCTACTGTGACTGTGGCTGTGTCAGTTTTGGAATTTTTATCATGTAAGTTTTGTTTTTCAGTTCTATACTAAGATTGAGATTATTCTATTATAAAAATAGAATAATCTCAATCTTAAACTTTGGAAATAGAATTTATACCTACTTATTTTTCTTAAATATATTCTTTTTTAATCCAACATATTAACTCGACTAGTAAATAATGTGGCTTAAAATTGTATAGTACTTTCTTACATGAATAAGATAGAGAGAGAGAGATTAAATATTATGTAAAAATAATATTCCTCAAATCGTAGTTTTTCTTTTCTATTTGTGTAAAGCAAATAAAAATTAGATACAAAAATTCTTCTTTAAAATGTATTTTGTCCGAAGTACTCTCAGATATTTCTGAGCTTCAAAATTATAAAGTTCTAGATTCTCTAAAAATTGTGTATCTGTTACAAATATTTTTTATTTATGGTTTTATTAATATTTGTCTTTTTTAATATTTAGATTTAATTAGATTGCCTAACCTCTATATCAGTTTTGTTGAAGATCAATATATGAGTATTTTTGCTATAGCACTTCCTTATACCAATCCTTTTAAGTAAGTTTTTTTTTTCATTCTTGGTATTTAATTTTTCTTCATTCCTTTCTGTTAAAGATTTATTTCGTATTGCTTTACTACTTTAGATTTATAGTTATGATCAACAGTGTGAAAAATAAAATAGTTGCTGTTAAGACACATATTTTTGTAAAATAAGGCACTAATAATCTTTATAGACATTGGAAAATTTTTAAATTCTTCTTTTATCTCTAAAACAGTCTATTTTAGGCATTTTGTGACATTTAAGTGTAATAGTTTCATGCAATGTAATTATGTCATAATGTAATTTATCTGAATCTCTGAATCATCACCTTAATTGTATCAAAAACGGTTTTAAAAAATTAGTCGAATATATTAGTCGAATTACAAATATTAATTATTGTTAGATTAATTTAATATTGTATTATTGAATATTCAAGGAAACCTGATTTTAAGCTTTCTGTAGTATATCAGTTATATTGTTAAATTTTAATTATATTTTATAGCCTTTTTTTTAATTTCATAGAAAGAACATTAAGTGTTCAATACATAGCTATAAGCATAATGTACAGAGTGACTATAATGCTAGATATCATAGAATTGTTTTTGAAAATTTATAAAAGTTTTTTTTAATAGAACAGAAAATTATTTCATGCTTTGCCTCTAGATTGCATATTAATAAATGTCTTTGCCTCAAAAGGCTCCTCTTGTTGTGATACTTTAAATCAACTTCTTTTTATTGAAGCAAAATAATTTTTCTTTATTAAGTCATGCACAAAACCTTCACAATTGTATGATAACTAATTTTGGTTGTAGATAATTTTGAACTATAGCATTTTAATGATTTTCATATTGCTGTTTCATTAAGAAATTTTGTATTGCTTTAAAATTCTAATTATAAACTTTTTATGTGAAATTAATTAATTAATTACAAACCATCATATTGTTTAAAAAGGAGCATCTAAAAAAATATAAATTCAATTGAGTAAATATTTATAAAAACAGTGAAATTTTNAAAAAAGAAAGAAAAATCGTAAAATCTTACGAGGAAAAAAAAAATTGTTTTTAAAAATGGCAAGAAAATTTATCGAATTTTGTTCCGTTTTTTTGGTTTTCTGATTTCCGGATAACGGGTTCTGTACTGTATAAACTTTTTATGTGAAATTAATTAATTAATTACAAACCATCATATTGTTTAAAAAGGAGCATCTAAAAAAATATAAATTCAATTGAGTAAATATTTATAAAAACAGTGAAATTTTGAGATTGGTTTCTTATTTTTAGCAGATTTGAAGCACGGAATTTTAATTTAAATTTAACCGAAGTGTGATTGTGTCTAAGTGTATTTTGCATATTATTTAAAAAACAATCTTTAAAGAACACTCCTTAGTCCTTTAGAATACAATTTCACATCAACTTATGCTTTTAAATGTCTAAAACTTTCTTTCCTTCAATTCAATTTAATACCACCAGCCTATTGTCTTTAAAACCTAAATTTTCTTTTCTGTTTAGAATTAGCAGTAATTAATCATTCTTTTGCATTTTTCTTCTTCTTAAAGAACTAACTGCTCTATAATTTAAAAATCTTTTCTTTAATATGACTTGCAACTTAATCTCTTACCAAAGTCGACTGAAATTTAAACTTTCTTTGGAGTACATTTGAAATTTTCTCAATGTGCATTTTAAAATAATATCCTAAAGACTCAGTCAGTTACATAATGAACCTATGATTTAACCCTTTATTTTTCAATGCTGACCTAGTCGCTACCCATACCTAATTTGAATAAGTTGCTACTAATACCTAATTTGATCAGGGTTCACTAGCAATCTCTGTAAAACAGTTTTTCTCGGTTTGTCAGATAAAAAGCAATATAAAGCTTACAGATTTTTCAGATAAACATTATTATATTTTTATGTATGTTATAAATATTAAATTTCAGTGCAATATAAATTGAAATTATAAGTTGTTAGTTGTTTTTGCTATTTTGACAAGTATTTATTTATATTTCAGATTTAATCAATACATAGTTGCTTTATCTCATCATGTTATAGCTATGTGGTTTTTAAAATGCCGTATTCCATTTAGAAAAGATTTTGCCAAATTTATTACAAAGGTATTTCATTCATTTCAGTGCCTATAAATCTAGAAAATAGCTTATAAACTGAGTAATTTTTTATTTTTTAGATTTTAATTTCAGACTCATAAAATGCCAATCACTAGTTTAAGTTGATAAAAAAATTATAAAGGATTATTAAAATTTTAATCTTGATGGTTTTTTAATAGTTATATTTCTATATTTTGGTATTGCAAATACTAATTCCGACTACATAAATGTACTTTGAAATCTTTTCATGTATTATTCGGTCAATATTATGCATGCAATTTAATTCTAATTTTAACATTTAATTCTAATATTTATTAACATTTTAATTCTAATGCATGTGGCTGGTTTCAAAAGCCATTTTATTGAATTATTTTTATTGTAATCTATGACATAAAGCTTCGTATTTAATAAATTAGTAGTATTTTATGATTAGTTAACATTCAAAATGTGCAAACTAATGTAAAATCATTTGACAGAGCTTGTTGAAATGCTATGAGAGCTATCTTTTAAATAATTTAGACTAATCTATGATGAAATTACTTTTAAACTAAGAAAAACTCTTAAGTTAAAATATGCATATCGGGACATAAGTTAAATTCTATGAAAAATTAATTTTACGTTGAATAAATTTACAAAGCTATGATTATTTTAGTATTTTTAGATCTTGGATTATTAAATTTAAAGCTAGAATCTTTGATATTTATTAAAAATTTATTAAGTGTTCATCCTTACTTTTATTTTGTTTAATTTTGCTTTTTTAACAATATTTAAAATTTTATTTTTTTAAGAAAAAGTATTGATCTTTCACGGAATAATTTTTCTTTTTTAGGGTTTAAGGAGCAACTTGAGTGTTCCCAGAGAAGATAGCAGTCGCAGTGACAGCCATCGAAGCAGTGGGGACCAATCATCGTACGTTTTGAATTCTTATTATCACATATATAAAGATATTATTTATTTTTGTTTTCTGAGAAATTCCAATTGACCTTTCTTTCCTGCTTGTATTCAGTTAAAAGAAAAAAACTAAAAAACATTGTTAAAAAAAATTTCAGCATTTCTTTTTGACTTTATTCACATAATTCTGTTTATTTTAATATATAAATGTGCATTTGTCATATTTTGAAATTATATTGAAAGTGTAAAATCATTCATTTTATACAAAAACTGTAATCTACATAAATATAACTCTCTCTCTTTGCCACTAAACTTTAATCTTTATATGCAATCATTTTTGTTTAGCGTTATACTTTTTTAACAAGCCATCTCACTCATGTCATTGTTATGCATATGTGTTATAAGGTTTCTTTGTACTGTTTTGTTAGTAAAACTGTTCTACAATTGTAATCTATTTTTTATAATTTCCATTTTCAAATTTTATTAACATAACAAACATCTTTGTATAGGAATGTGTGAAAGAAGTCACAAATTAGAAAGCAATGCTATAAATGTTTGTTTTTTTCTTACTTAGAAATTTTTTTTAATTTTTTGTTCGCAAAACTCGTGTTTTTAAATTTTTTCTTCTCACAGGGGTCTTAGTGAAATGTCAACTGAAGCTATAATAGCATTACATACTGAGCTTATGGAAACTGGTCTGGATCTTATGGCCCGATTTACATTTGGTATGGCGGCTAATGTTCCTAAAAGGTCAGTTACAATTAATGTAATTCAGTTTAATGTATGAGGGAAAAAACAAATTTAATGTGGTTAAAAGGGAAACTTTCATAAAAAATATTTTAATGACCTAAGAGGTTTTGCAAACCCTTTAGGGGGCTTAGAAGTTCTTAATTTTTGTCTACAGCACAGGGGTAATGAATTGCTTTCAGTTACAGAACTTGCTGTATCAAACTTGAGTACAACTATTAAATTTGTTGGGCTGGTATCTGACTCAATTTTTTTTTTCAATTTTGTGCATACAATTATTTTTAGTAAAATATTTACTAATTAGCATTCGTTAAAATACTTTCAAACCTTCTCATTCAGAAATTTAATAATAATGAAACTCTATATTTTAATAAATCATGAAAATTTACTACAACTAACACAGAAGACTGTAACTATTTCTATTTTCAAAAAAGGGTTCAAAATGTTTTCAGTCATTCTAAATTTCAGATGAATAGATCTGTACGGACTGCTTTTAACAGGGACTTCAGAACTATTTGGTTATTATTTAAAAAAATTTTACTAATATTGTGATTATGACTATTTAAAAACTTTTGCTAGACTTTTTTAGTTACTTAGTTTTCACTTATAAGTTACCATATTTTTTTTTTACTTTATTATTTTAGCTATAGTTTTCATTTGCTGATAAGAAACAAAAATATTTTTGAATGGTATAATTTCCTTCCTTCTTTATCATTTTTCTATTGGGAGGAACCCATATATTTTATCTAAATTAAAATTGAAATGGCAAACTTTGGTGTGCCTTTTTTTTAAATTTAAATATATTTTAAAAAAATATTTATGTCTGTTTATAATGTTTTAATTTATATTACACAAAAAATTTTGTGGTTATTTTTTAAGTTAAGCGTGCCATTAACAAATCTCACAAAACTTGTGTAAAATGAATTTAACTTTTATTATATTTTGTCTACAATTTTTATGATTTTGAATAGAGTGCTGCAGAATCTAAATAATTTTTCTTACTGTAAGTATGAAGTGTAATTAAGTTTGTGGGTGAATTGGTGTATGGTCTAAATTTTAAATGAAAATAATATTTTTTCAATAAGCTGTTCAACTTTTTTGCATATTTGCTTATTTGTATAAATCTTATTTGAAGTTGATTTCAAACTCTTTCTTACTGGTTTTTTTTCAGATAGGTATTTTATATTTGATTAGATTGTTTCTCAACACAAAGAAAAATCTTATTTCCTACATGGAAAATGAGTTTTCTGTGTGTTGTGTTACATCGTTAGCTCTTCCCAAACAATGTGTGTTAATTCCGGCTTTTTCCCTTTCGGAAGATTCAGTTATGCTTTCCTATACAAAAAAGTTTTGTTTCTTCGTGTTATTAATAAAAGAAAAATGTGTGGAAAAGTAGTACATTGAAGGGAATTTTAAGGGAGAAGAAAATGATCTCTTAAACATTTTGAAAATGTGGTTTTGTGATTATTTTTCCCTTAGCCTTCCAATTATATTTTTTTGAACTGAATAAAATTTGTTTGATGAATATTTTTCTTTTTTCAATGTCAGATCTCCTGTTGCGGAATTTCTTTTGGAGAATGGTCAGAAATCTAGCTGGTTAATTGGAAATAAAATTGTTACAGTAACAACCAGTGGCTGTGGTACCAAATCTTTTAAACGTGGCTTGTGTGAGAGGTGCTACACATCCTGCAGAGAAATATGCAAGAATTTAGAATCAGGTATTTAATAGTTTTTTAACATTAAAATTTTTTAAGCTATGAATTAATTGACAATGGTTTATGCAGCCTGAAAAAATGTACTTAAAAATTTCTTTGTTTTTGCAATTTAAGTTTCCCTCAGAAATCCTTTAAAAATTGTGTCAAAACTCAATTGATTAACTGTATATTTCAGTAGTTTTCAATTTATCTTTTAATTTATGTATGTTATTTTATGTAATGATTAAACCATCTTTGCTTTTTCTATCCCAATTAATTAATTAGAAAGATGATTAAAAAATGTTCAGAGTAAAAATAAAATTTTTTACCACAAGTCTTAATGACTGGGCTAGTTCAGTAATTGAAATTCTACTGCAGTGATATATTTTATTCTTATAATTACTGTTTATTTTAGTAATGTACGAAAAAAGCAAAATGTTTTGGAACTTTTTTTTTTAATTTTGCAAATGAATAAGATATGTTGGCTAGCTAATTGATAGAAAATATTAATAGAAAATCGTAAACTATACTTTGTCAGCTAAGATAGGATTTAATTTTGGTGTCATGAAAAAAAAAAAGATGTTATGTTAAATCGATGCTCTGTTATGTTAAATCTTGTTGAAAAATTGGTAGTATTACAGAGATGCCAACTTGCCCCGGACAGGAAATATATATTTTCAAGTGGTAGTTTATCAATTGCGATTCTTGGTTTAATAAATTCAATTTAGTAGATTTTTATCCACCACTATTTCTAAATAATTTGCAGGCTTATATTATTCCCTACTCTGGAATACTTATGCCATGCTGTACCTTTTAAAAAGCAAGCAAAAATAGTCAAATATATGCAAAATTTGCTTGTAGTTATTTACCGTTTTTTCAATTATTTCGGCGTGTCCGGAGCAGTTGGCATCTCTGGTATTATCAGCTCAATAACCAACATTTTTCTATTCTATGATGAATTTTATTTATTTTATTTGAAGATTTCTTATTTCTTAACAAAATTTTCATTTGTTTTTTGATAAAAATTTCTTTGATGGAATAAAATTCAGAAATTTGATTTAATCTTTGTTTGAAAAAAAATTTGGCTTCAAATCCTAAAAATTTGGCTTCAAATTTTTATCCGACCTAAAAACATTGGAATTTAAAACAGAATTGGAAAATATACTTTACAATTTAGAGTTCAAAGTAGTATTTAAGAAAATTGTGACCTATAAAATTTTCAAGTAAACTATTTGTTTTTATTGAATTCGAAAAACACATTGAGTAACAATTTAATAACCAGATGTTTCTTCAATCTCTATAATTTTATCTTTATTATGTGATTAACCCAGTTGCTAAACTTGCTAACTGTGATTTTTAAAATAATTGAATTGTCAATCATTGAATTATCAATACGGCATTAAATTTAATCAACTTCAATATAAATGGGGTTTTTTTTTAATGGCAGGCACTTGGGGTTTGTCCCATTGGCCACAGAAATGCCAGAACTGCTACTCTCTTCTCATTACCCAGTGGGCACCTGTGGGGAACCCACGGCGGGAGAGCAGCGTCTCCCACGTCACACAACCACAAATCCCTTTACAGGGTGGATCACATTCACACAGAGCGGAAAGGACATAGAGCACAGAGAGAGAAAGAAACATCCAGGCCCTGAGCAGGATTTGAACCTGCGGCCAATGGCTCCGCAGTCAGACATGCTAACCACTCAGCCACCTGTTCGGCTCAGTATAAATGTACTTTTTTAAAAAAAGAATTCAATAGCTTTTCAAATTTAAACAAAGAAAAATTTAATATGCTTTTATTATTTCCTTATGTCAGCAAATTTTTTATCTGGGCTGTTCGTATAATTGATGTTATTACTTATATCCATATCTTTCCAAAAAAAGTGTATCGAGAAAAATATTAAAAAGCCTTGCTCTAGAATAAGCATAAAAACTAAGTTAGTTTTCTTCAACCTTAAAATAATAATTGGCATGAAAAATGTACAAAAAATTGAGCAAGTTATTAATTAAGAACAAAACATTATTTCTATTAAAAACTAATCTAAATTTTATATATGACTTCCTAAATAATGATAATTTTAACATTAACTTATATTTTCTGCTATATTTAACTTCAAGCATATCGAATGATCTTAATTTATTTACATATTAATGTTTATATCTGTATAAAATATTTTATTTTGTATGTTTTAGATGACAGTGGTTCCAGCTATACAGAGCAAGATGTTATGCCTCGCCCTCAAAGACCTAAAAAGGAAGAATTTCAGAGTCAAAGGAAGCGTCATAGATCGGCTATTCAAAGAAGCACAACTTTAACAGAAGCTGCCCTTCCTAGCATACATCAAGCGAAAGATGATATACTTTTACACTATCAAAAAGCTCAGGATCCAAGTTTGCTAGAAAGGTTTTTTTATCATAACCTAATTGTCGTAAAATTGTATGGTGTAAAATAATGAAATATTCATTTTTTAGATTATTTATTATTGATAACTAGTAATATTTTATTTATAATTTAATGGGGCCTCAAAAAAATAACTTTTTCTATAACTTATAAAAGGTGTTTTATTTTTATTTATTTTTTTTGCTTTTTTTTTTACTTGTTCAACTAACTTCATCTAGGTGCTATTTAAAAACAAAACATTTGCCCTTATTGTTTTTCAACCTATATATCCCGAAATATGAGATTCTGTGGACTGTAAAATAATGCTTTTTTTTTTCTTGGAAAAGGTTAAATTTTTTTAAGCATATATTTTAATTTCTTACCTTTATATTCTAATATTTGAAGGTTAACTGAATGCAAGTTTCACACAATCACTCACTGAATGCATATTAAAAAAATTTATGCATGCAAAACATTAAGTGTTATCTGCAACCTGGAGCCGATGGAACATTCTGTAAATCATTAAATATGCTGCCATACATTTAAAGTTTAAAGTTCTATTACAGTAAAGTCTATTTATCTGTTCTCTCATAGTTTGTTTTGTCTTTAAGAATTATTTTAAATATTATAAAAAAATTGTTACCAAATAAAGAATTGTGGTTCTGTGTAAACTAGGAATTGGATTGTTTGAAAAGCCATCAGTTTAATGTTTACAAGTTTAAAGTTGAAGTGATTAAGAGTGCGCTCCACCGACTTTAATTTGCAGAAAACTCACTGCTTCACCATTGTTGCCATTAACTCTATAATTGTTGTTAATATATTTGGTTCATTAATAAACATGTGTGAACATGAAATCTTGTAGTTCTAATTAATTAGCTGTCAGATGTATATTAATCTGACACTCAGGGCAATATTGAAGAAGAGAAACAGTTTTAATCCAATTGGAGTTTTTCTAATGAAGATCTACTTTACATGCAAGTATGTAAAGCATTCTTTAAAATGGTAAAATGGTTGGACAGTAAAAATATGTGCTTTACATGACCTTATGTGAAGTATTCTGGTAAATGATAAATAAAGTTGAGGTTTACAAAATGCTTATTTGATGGCAGTTGTTCAAACGATTTACACACCCCTGATTATTTTTAAATTTTTTTAATCAAATTATTGGTATTAATGCTTGCTTTTGTTTTCTATTTTTAGGCACAGTGCTTCCTTTTTCCCCTCTAACATAAATATTTTTGGAGACTCATCAACTGAAGAATCTGCCGATAGTAATGAAGCAATTTTGTTTTATCTCTTACACTTTTTATTTCCTTCTATTATAGTGTGTTTTACTTTATTTTTTCTAACTCTTATAAAGAATTAGTCAGGTCAAATTCATTTTTGCGTTTTCAACCAGTTAAACCACATGCTTGCTGAGATGTCAGTGATTTTTTTCTCAAAACTAACAGTTTTCAATATTAGGGATTGTTCAGATATTATTTAAGTGGAAGGATTTCTTATCTGCTTATTTTTTCTAACAATAAGGAAAGTCCAAATTAGTAGAAAAACCTTTTACATATTATTTGAATGGCCCCTTACTTATTTAAAAATTAAATGTTTCTTTAAATTCATTAGAAGTTTTCTGAATACCAACTACGTACTCAGCTTTAAAAAAAAAATCTAAATTCCAGCACTTAGTTAAGTGCCTTTTAATATGTATGAGTTATCTTTTGAGTGATGAAATCTGATTGAAAAAAACATTATTTGCTCTAAATTTATAAGTTTTTACTGTGTGCGTTATTTTTAAATGGGAGTAGATTTTGCTTTAATTAAAATGTTGGTTAATAGCAAAACTAAAGAAATCTAATCTGATTCCACTGACTTAATAAATTGTTTTAATATTTAATTACTTTAAACTTTGGGGTACTTTTTATTTCTACTCTTTGGATAATATAGCTTATATTAAGACTATTTCATTTCTGTAGATAAAGATAAAGAGGAGAAAGGTCATCACCTTTGTAGCTGTTGGTGTGCAACATGGGCTGAAATTCATATACGGCGGCCAACTGGCACTACCTCATGGATGATGAAAAATCAAAACCATCTCATTCTTCCATCACCACATCCAGTAACTATTTCATCTTAATATTTTTTTCTGTTCATTTAAGAGAAAAGAAAATTCTTACAAAATCTCTGACTTAAATAATGTACATATATATAGATAAATTCTAATAACATACTATGTGTATATGTACCCAGTGGCAAAAACTCACCAACAGAGCAGCAGGTGCTGCAGATTATTACGGCATCTGCAAATTATTTTTCATTTCAGTTTTGTTTTTATTTTTAAAAACCGATCAAATAAATTGGAGGAAATCGCTATGAATATTTTTCTAAAATACATCTAAACCTGTTTTTAATAAAGATTAAAAAGCTGATTTGAGAGAACATTTCAAAAAATAAAAACTAGAGTTTTTTTTTTTCTGTTTCTTGAATATAGGCTTAACTGTTTTGTAACTGTTAATAAGTAGGCTTTCATTATTTCTTTCATTTTAAGCTCATTTACAATTACGTTATTATTTAGTTTTTTTAAGGTATGGATACATTATAAAGAGTATTTTCTATCTTAGGATAATCATGATCTATTTTGAAATGACTTTTTCTTGAAGAAATGTGTCTTGAAGAGGAATTTTACCATTATTCCATCCAATTTTCCTTATATTTCTAATTCTATTATGTGTCAAATTTTATTCATTTATATTATTTTTATGTATACATAATCAGAGAATCCATACTAAAATAAAATAAAAATTGTGTAAGACATTTTTAAATAAAATTAAAATTTGTAACTTAGCATGACTACTGCTTATTTTGCATTGGCATGGGATGCTACTCTAGTAACTGCCACGCACTGGCAGAAGATTGAAGAATAATGTATTCAGAACCTGAGTAAATTTAATTTCCTTTTTCTGGTTATTTACTGGAATTTCTTCTATTTCAGGATATTCCGTTATCCGTCTTGTCTTCCTTAGTCTTGCCACAAAAAGAGGAATTAGAACAAGATATAGAAGTACCCTCCTCTGAAACTGAAAGTGAATCTTCAACTGTTGCTGAATCTGATTTCAGTAAGCTAAACGCACGTTTAATTTTAACGAAAAAATTTGTTAATTAGTGACTAATTTGCTTCATCTTTTTTGTTTCAAGAATTCAAATCTAATTATCTTTTTTTTTTTTTCAAATATTTTTTTTTTTTTTTTTTGATAGGTGGAATCTTGGCCTATTCTGTGTTATTCATTTTTCAAAACCACTTCAATGTATTTTAACTATATGTGTAATTTGTTAATACCCAGCATATTTTAAATTTGATTGCATTGTATTAAAAAAATGATAAAGTTTTGACTCTCTTAATTAGTGATCCTTTCATGTAGAAAAAGTTTTCGCTTCGCTTTGCTTTACTGAAATTAGGTAAATTTTGTAATAAAGAAAATTTTGTCCTAAATTTTTTTTTCTTTACCCCCTTCTAATGGGTCAATTTCTTTAAAAACATGTATGCTGTATTTTATACAATTTTAATTGTGAATTCTTTTTGTTAATTTAAAACTAACTGAAAGTAAACTCTGCTCAAACCAGTCCATGTTAACAAGTCAATACTCTGGTTTTATCAAGGGGTAGAAAAGAAAGTAATTACTACTAGCTTTACTTGTATGAGTAACAAGGGGTGACAGAATAGGAGATCGCATTGACGTCTCAATCATTTTCACTATTCGTCAGACACAACCATAAAGCCAGAAATTGAAAAATGTGCGATAGATCACAATTAAATTTTATTAAATACTCAACATCGTTGTTTCAAATAAATTTTAAAACTTGTTTAGTCTTTTATGTTCACTTAATTCACCCTTCTTTTAGCTAATCATAATCATGCAACTGGCAAAATATGCTTTTTGCCACTTTATTCTCGCCAGTTTCTTTTGTGACTTTTTGTGCCCTCTTACAAGTCTATAATGTATTTTTAGCCATGTCTTCCTTTATGATTCTTGCTTTTCTTATGTTCCTGACCTTCACATATATTTTTGAATAAATAATTCAGAATTATATTGATTTATCAATATATTCTGTTATGCTGTTTTTTAATAATACTTTAATCTTTGGTTTATAGAAGAAAATGCCTGTGATGGAGCTATTGATATAACTGCCAAGAAGCCTGTTCCTCCAATGAGACGCACAAACTCTAGTCCAGACATGAATACAGGCTGGTCAAATTTTGAATCCTATAAGCAGGAAAAAGAGGACACTGTGTTTGAAGACTCTGTTGACTCAGTTGAAGAGAAATTTCAGAGAACTAGAATAAGTGAATCTGCTGAGCGCTCACCTAGTAAGAAAGGTTAGTTTGTATTTTTAAAATTAAAGGAAAAAGAAATAAAATTCCATCGCAAGGAAATAAGAACCTAAAAGAGAACTCGAAATTAAAGGAAATTTTTTCTTTAATGATATTTATTGATATTTTATGATTTACCTTAAAAAAAATTTTTTTAATTAATTAATTTCTAATGTGATTATTAAAATTGGATGCTGTAATTATTGAGTGCATGTATAAATTTCTCTGCTATAAAAAAGCCTTTCTTTTTTGCAAAGAAAATATTAATGTGAGTTTTTTAAAGATAGAAAGAAAAAATAAAATTGAAGTTTGCTTTTCCTAAAAGCAAAAGATGTTGCGAATTTGATAAAGTATTCTAAATTGCACTAATATTTTGGTCCAGGATTGTTTTATACACAAAATCGCTGAGAATATGTATTATCTGGTTTTTCATGTATATTAGTTTAAAAAAATTTCTATTTTTAGATGACGTTCTTTTAATTAAATGTTTTAAATTAGCAATAAAAAATTAATTTGATATCAGAGTAATGGCTAAGTCGGTAAAAGTGCAAATATTTTTTTCTGATTATCATTATGTTTTTGGCACAGATTTTAAAAATATGTGTCTACTAATAATGCATATTTATAATATAGGATTAGAATCATACTAGTATAAATTAATGATTTGAGTACATTAAGTTTGTTTATCACTACAGTATTTATTTTTATGTATTACAAGTTAAAAATATTTACGAACTAAAATGTATTTTTTGTAGAGTCACGGAAAATTACATTGTTTCTCCATACAATTAACGATTTCATTAGGTTTATTATTTTTTTTCAGATAAATGTAAGTCTGTGGTGAAGTGCTTTAGTGATCAATTTTCTTTATTTTTTTCCATCATGTTTTCTTTTTACTTTTTATTTAAACGTTGTAACCCAATATATAGGATCATTAACCAATATATTAGACACTGTTAGCCACTTAAACTAATTTATTCACTTAATACTTTTTTTTATCTAGACAAATCAAATACTAGACGAAACTTAAAACTGAATCTGAAGTCGGAAACTAAAGCTCAAATTTCCTCTTCTGAAAGAAGATTGCAGTTTGCCAAAGAAAATATTCATTCTGCTCCTATAGAATTTCCACACAAAGAAGGTATAAAATTTATAAGTATATTTCTTACTCTACTTTTAAAATGTATTTACCAACAGTGGGATTCAAATCATTTAAAAACTGTTACACTTAGAACAAATGTTGAGATTATTTTAGGAAAAAGAAAAATATTAATAATTTAAAAAAATCATCAATCTAGGAATTAAGGTAATTTTTTAAACATTTCTAAGATTTAAAAGATTTTCAAAATTGTTATAAGTTTTAACTACACTTTTAAGCTTTTTGATTTTAAAAGCAGGATAATATGTCCCATTGTATACCAGCTATATATCATCACCATATTTCAGTTTCTCCCGTTTTATATTAAAATCTTTATAATGTTACACTTTTGCTCTAGCAAATACTTAATATTTCATCTATTGGATTGAATGGTTAAAATTTAATTGTGTGGAATATCTGCTTTATAAAATTTTAATATATATAGATTAACCAAATTTAATAATTAACAGTTATTAAAGTATTTATTATAGAACTATTTTTATTTCGTAAACTTTTGAAAAGACCTTAAAGGAGGAAGCCAAAATAAGGCTTTTAGAATAAATTCAGAAAGGATTCTTCATTTTTTTAAAGACCTTTTCTATTATTTTCCTAAAGCATGATTAATTGCTTCTTTCGTTATTTAATTATTTCTTTAAAAAAACTGGGGAAAATATCTCAATTGTTCTAAATCCATTAGTAGGGTGGTCGCAAAGCAGGGAAATGAGATAGTACAAGGAAATGAATGAAACTAACCAAAAAGTCAAGAAAAGTTTATTAATTTGAGTTTGAAGTACTCAAAGGTCCAATATGTTTTCCCAAAAAGAAATTTCTTTTATTATTAGTATTTTTTACCTAAAAAAAAATCGATCATATTATAATTAATTTTAAAAACTCTTTATACTAAAAAATTACTCAAAACATTTTTTTTAAGAATGGGCATCATTGTGCCAACTATCTTTTTACTATTTACTTTTATGATATATTTCATATCTTAAAAATAAAATTTTTTGCCTAAAGGCTCTGAATGCATGACACAGACCTACATCTTATTTTATTATATGTATGGATTATTAGGATTACAATGAATAATGAATCTGTCACTCTTCATTAATTATTGATTAAGAATTTGAAAGTAATAAGTTTAGGAAGTTTTACAAGTGTTAAATTATTTTATGATAATTTATTATTTTTAAAATTTATAATTATGTACTACTAAAATAGTTTGAATTAACTATAAATCAACATTCTTTAGCTATCTAATTACCAGATACTGAAATTTTTGACTGTGTGCATCTGTAATTATCACTTGTTTTTATATATAATGGTATTTTTATAATTTGCAGTATTGTACTTGCAGGTCAACAACAAGCAAACTCATCTGGGTCATTTAGAGATCGTGGTCATACAATCTCAGTCATGAGTCCTAGTCGTCCGAATGGATCTGGCAATGCAGTCACACAGCCTGATGTTAGTCGGCGAAGTGGAATGAATCCTAGGTGCTTAAACAGGGTGGCAAAAATAAAAAGAGAAAATACAAGATACACAAAAAGAGCATAAAAATATTTTGTTTGTTTACCCTGGCTATTTTTATTTTGCCATCCTGTGCAATTCATATTAATTTGTTTCAAAAGTGTCTTCTGTATTATGTTAAAAGAAATAAAGAGCTTAGAGGCAATATACTGATAGTTACATTTTTAAATTGTTCAGAAAAGGTTTTGGTTTTTAAAAAAAAGCATCAATTACCGTACTGTTTTGTAGTAAAAATTCTGGAAACTTGTGAAGCACCTATCTGAAAGCAATTCAAATGGAAAAAAGTGTGACTTATTATTATATTTTCTTAAGCCCTTCAGTTATGCTGGAACATGCAAACTACTATAAACATTGTAAACTCTAATTTCTTTCTCAAATAAATTATGATCTAGACCCCTCACTTCAGTGGTGAAAAAAAGAGAAAGCAGTAAAGGGGGCAACTGTCCTATACTTCATATCCTGCTAAAGAAGGTATCCATTAGACAACTAAGGTTTCTGAGAATTTAAATTTATTACTGTTATTTTTATTATGAAATTGAATTTTTAAACAGACAAATATTTGGCTTATATAAAATATGATATTTAAATTAAGTTGGTCATGAATGTTTAGATCATTAAATTATAAATATTTTAGAAAAATTTAAAATATTTTATTTTTAAAGGATAAATTTTTTTACTGCATAGTAATTTCTTCCACCATTTAGTATATAAAATTGAATTGAAAATTTGAAAAACTCAAATTATCTTATGAGTAATAAGCAAATATACTAACTTAAATACTAAGGTGGTTTAATAATAGAATAAATTTTTAAAAAAATTTTAATGTGTATTTTATATTAAATTTAATGCTTTAATGATTTTTCATTGTTATTTGTGAAATTAAACTAATTTTGAAAAAATTACTGAATATGATTTATAAAAACATGGTTCAAATGAACATGTTGTCCCCTCTTTCTTGAAGATCTTCGAATGTAGCGTTTACTCTAATCTAAGAAAAAAAGTTAGGGCGATGTTTTTTTTTTTCCTCTCTGCTTGTGGTCAACACCAAAAATAGATAAAAAAAATTAATAATATAGCATATATTTGAAGCTGGGATCTTCCAGCATGAGATTTAGGACTGTTTTCATCCTTTAAATTAAATTAGCTTTTTTTTACCTCCTCCAGTAATTATCCTCTTTTTAGGGACAACTATATGAGGAGTTTTTTTATGAGCTTCCAGGCACCTAATATTCACTCTAAAAAAACATTATTGATAATAAAGTAATTTAGTTAGGTAAAGAGGGAGGCACACAAATATTTTTGTAGTTGCATCTCCATCAAATAAATAAACTACTAAATAACTGTCTTTTGAAATAATAGTTTATTTACTAAAAAATAGATAATGCAAATAGATAATTGAATTGGGGTCCATAGAAGGTTATGAGGTAATTTTCATGTAGTTTAGAAATTTCTTCAACGGCCTGTTACCATTAGAATTTTTTGACTTAACCTAATAAAATGTTTTCATTTCATGTTTTGCCTAAATATTTTTCATAAAGAGATTCCTGTTCTTTTCTAATATTTTACTACTATGCATTGAGATTTAAATCAAAATTTATAAGTTATTTTAATGATTTTGATTTTATATTTATAATTCATTTCAGAATAATTTATTTCATTCTTAACCCTAGATACATAAGCATGCATGATCAATACCCTATTCTTGAACAAAAATTCATAAACAAGTCTAATGATTTTGAGAGATTTACATCTTTCTATATCTTTCCATGTTAAAGTTCTGACTGTTTCTGCATTTTGCACAGTGTAAAAGACAAATGTTTATGAATCTAGGGTTAAAAAAATTACCAAGCCCTTTGCTTGCAATAATACCAAAGAGTTATCATTTTTTGGTGTTGGTGGATGGTACTCTTGAAAGAAGGTATTTAAAACTCTTGCCAAAAAGTAGTCCAGAATTACTAATATTTTTTTAAAAAAAATTGCTCTTGCAATCCAATACTAATCAAATTCCATAAATTTTATTATAGCTTTGTTTTCTTACAACTGTTCCATGAAAGCTTTTTTGGAGGAACAGACCATAAACCACTACATTTGTTGCAAACTGAGGTAAAACATACAATGCATTCAAGATTTGCCATGTATTTAAATTTAACGATAATATTTTAGATATATTTAATTCCTTCTGTCTTATTTTAGGCCAATAACAGAGCATTAAGTGTCTTAGATCACATACCTCCATATGATACTCATAAAATTGGAGTTGTCTACGTTGGACCTGGCCAAGTGAGTTATTATATTCACTTCAAACACAATGTAGCTTTCTTATTTATTTCATCTTTATAATCCTATTAATAATTAAATGTTTGAGCTCGTCTATATTACTTTTTAAGGTTGAATAACATAATTTTGTAATGCGACAAAAATTTTACTTTAAACATTTTTAATTAAATTTCAAAGCTTTGAAACAAAGTGAAAATATAATACTGTTGAAAATAAAATGAAGACCAATTCATAGAAAATGTGTAATGGGGATTTGTTTTAAAAGTAATTTCAAGTTTAAATTGCTTGAAAAAGAATGTAAAAAGAAATATTTCTAATTTTAACATATTATTTTTAAAAGCTATAATAACAAAATCATAAATTTAATTCTCTATTTAATGTATGATACTTTAAAAAATTCATCAAGCTGCTTAATTTTGAAGTTTAGATTTAGAAGCATCTTTGTCAAAGATAGCCTTATCTTAAATTATCCTAAATAAGAAAGATTATCTTTGTGTTAGAATAAATAATGTAGTAAGCACAAATGAAGGAAACTTATTCTAAATCTACATAGTTGGTTGTATTGTTTAATCATACATATTTTTTACATAAAAATATTGTTCATCCTCATTTACTATAAATTTAGTTTATTAAAAATTATGTTTTTTTTTTTTCATTTATCTGGTGTGTAGAACTTTTATTATTAACTTATATGAAAAATTGCAATTGGGAAAATTATGGAATTTTATTCAAATGTAAAACTGAACCTGAAACAGAATTTTTCACCTTAACTTACATGCTACTCATTATTGCTTTTAAAATGCCTACAGTAAGAGAAATGTAGATGTGATAGTCATTGAAGTTAAGTAGAAATATAAAACGCTAAAATACTATGCTAAGGAGGAAAAAAAATCTATCTACACTGTTTATCTTAGTTGTACGTTTTCTTTTTCTTTTTTGCAAAACAGGAACAATGGCAAGATGTAGGAAAAATAATTAAAAACAATTTTGTTTAAGAAACGGAACAAATACCAAAAAAATTATAAAATGTGAAAATAAAATGCTTTAAGATAAAAAAAAAAGCCAAAATCTGAAAAATGCTCTTAAACAGAAATAGTTAAAAAAATGTAAAAAAAATATCAAATATGGGCCCTACTCATAACATATTAAATAAGTTAAATAATTGAGTTACGAATTAAATAATTTTACAATAAAATGTTAGTTTAGCCTAGTATATAAGAATGGTGGATAAGCACTTAAGTCAATCATTCTTTTTATGAGTTCTTTTAATATCACAAAAACCAGTGGTTGGAACTAATGTGTTACAAGTAATAAAACTACTTTAGTTACTACTTTTTTTCTTCTTTGATGTCTTGTATAGTGTAATTTACTACTTTTTGAAAGAAAAAAAGTGTAGTGAATACAACAAATTTTATGAATCTGACTGGAGCAAATTTTATTTAAGTCCATCAGTTGACACAAATGACTTTACACTAACATTTTTTAAATAAATATTTAAAATAAATATTCATCAAGGAAGGTATAAAAGATTGAAGAATAATAAAATTCATAAACAATAAATTGACACGCTTATTATTCTGAACTAATTATTTATTTATTATTTTTTTTAATATTGAACTTTTTTTATTAATTTCTCGCTTGAATATAAATTGAATCCTCCAGAAAAATTAATCTTCTAATGTAATTGAGTTGTGACTACATTTTGAAGGTAGTTAGTAATCTCTACATTTAAAAAATAATAATAATTGTAGCTGTAGTTAACTGCATTTGTAGCAAAACAGTTGTGGTTGTAGAATTGTGTAACAGTTGTGGTTCTACAAAAAATTTATTTTTCAGAGCACTGACAAAAAGAGAGAATATGTTTCATAAGTTATACAAACTAAATGTATTTTTTGACATTCTTGTTTTATCAAATGTTATAGTGAGGAAAACAAGCTAGTAACATTTTGATTAAATTCATTATTTCCTTTCATCATTTTTATTATATTTCAGTCGCTTTTTTCCTTTGAATTTACAAATTTCAAAAGTTAATGTGAAATTTATGCTTAAAAAAAAACTTGTTTTCTTAATTAAGTTTAGTTTCTACATGAAAGACCATCAAATGGCAAAATTTAGGGTGGTTTTTTTTTTAGTTGCAATTTTTGTATTTAATTAAACTTTATTATGCTAGTTACTGCTGAAAAATACTATTAACAGATTGATAATGTATTTTTTTCTTAATTTCAGGCAGAAGATGAAGTAGCCATATTGAGTAATGTATATGGCTCTTCAAGGTACGTTTCTTTTATTGAAGGTCTAGGAGATCTTGTCATGCTTACAGATACAGATCCTCACACAACATATCTTGGAGGATTAGATACAAGGGGAGAAGATGGTCAATTTACATATGTCTGGCATGATGATGTTATGCAAGGTAAATTGATACATCAATTTAACAGAAGCTTTTTGTTATATCTCTATTTTATTTTAGACTTGCAATATTACTCTTCTATTCCTGACACTCTTGGTTATCTGCTATGAACAGAAATTAAACAATCGTGTAAATGCCATTTGTTGAAAATTGTTAACTATCGTGGAAAGATTTTTAATATTACTCATTATAAAAATATAAAAATCGACCAAAATCTACGTATTCTACCTTGCAGTCAATAATTAGTTTTATATCTCCAAAAAATTTTGTATTTAGAGAAGTAGATGCTGACATATATAATAATAAGTATTAAGTTTTATGAAAATTAAAACACTTAAAAAAGAGAAGAATGCTGTTGCTAAATTAAACAATTTCTGGCTGCTCCTTTTGTAAATCTGTGGTACATTAAACTACAGTTATGTCATTCATCTCTGCAACCATTTTATACACATATACTACATCAAATATACTCACAGCCTTGTTATATATCATTTATTGCTGATTATATATCATCTATCATTGTGACATGATATATATATCATTTATTTATTGCATATTATATCATTTATTGCTGAAAAAATTTTATCAATTTCATATATTTTATTAAAATATATTTGTTGTATGTACTGTGTGCAAAAAAAGACCACCATGAATAACTTTTGATCTAATTATTGAATCTTAGGACTAAATCTTAATGTTTCAAGTGGATGACCTCAAATATGATAATAAATTCGTGCAAATATATTTTAACTTACGAAATCAGGCACAAAACTCTATTTTCTCTGAGTGAACATACCTTTTTTTTTCTTCAAGGATTTGGATTTCTGACCCCCAAAATATAGGGTTTAGTCGCAATCTGTGATATATGGTCCTGGTAGTTTGGTCTGGAGATTCCCTTAATGTTAGTTTTACTTTTTGCAAATTTTGCCATATTTTGAGAATTTCTTAGACGAACTGAAACATTTTTGCTCACAGTTATAAAATTTGATTGTCTGAAGACAATTCCATGCAAAAAGTAACTTTTTTTAAAAATACTTATTATTTTTTTAGTATTAGTCTAAAAAGTTTTTCTTTGTAGGGTATAAAAGTTTTTACTCAATTTTAAAAGGTAAAATGCAAAATTTGAGCAAAGTTAGTTGAAAAGTTCCTGCAAAATGAAATTTTAAAGAAGGTGAAAAGGATCAAAAGTTATTCAACATAGTCCTTTTTTTAGTACTGTACATTACATTTCTGTTTTAAAACAGTTTCTTTGGAATAGCATGACCTTTTTGGACCTAAGCATTCAATTCATTTCTGCAATATTTTTATCTATGGTACATATATCGTGATTCCCGTAAGAATCAATAATATTTATCTTTTTTTCTGAATTATGGTGCATCATACATAAATTTGAAACAGAGTATTCATTTTGCTTTATCTCAAATTTAACTTCTAAAAAAATGTTTGTTGTTACTTATTAAGTTAAAGAAAAGTAGGGAAAAAAATAATGAAATACTTCAGAGAATAAAAATATCTTTACTTTCTCAAAACTTTATTTTTTAAATGCTGTAAAAATTTAGCTGCAAACTACTGTCAACTACATTTTAATTGTGAACACTGTTAAATGCTTAAACAATAGATTTTTTTTGTAAAAAAAAATCAAGAAAATTCTTAAAAGTTATTATTAAACTAATGTGGAATACCTAACAATAGAACTTATCTACATTGAAAATTTACTCCACATTAACATTTTGAGCATTAGTTATAGCTTTTTCTGAACTTACAGCTGCAAACTTTCCTGCATCAAAAAACCGTTTTCCCCCATGTTTATTTAATGACAGAGTAGTGCATAGCAGGGTGCAGTAATGGATAGCTGTTCAATTTTATCCAGGGTCTCAATACTTGGAGGGTTCATCATAAAATCATCTATAAAATATTTAGCTATTTTGAAACTTAGGTAAAGTTACTTTCAACCATTTAACTACTGAGCCTTTTAGGTGAATTTGTATTAATATCTTCCCGCCCTGAGATTTTTATGCAGTATAATATTGAAAAAAAAATTTCAGGGAAGCAATTGTGCAATTATTTCAACTTAATTTAGGATTAAAAGTTTGATAGTCATATTTGCTATAATTGTTTAAAAATTATTGGTTTTCTTGTAATTTCAAATTTATTTATGTGACTGAAATTATTACTATAGTAGGTTTTTAACTATAAAACTATGTTTCTAGTGGTCTTTCACATCGCTACTTTTATGTTGAATAAAGAAAGTGACAAAAATAGAAATGAAAAAAAGAAGCATATAGCAAATGATTGTGTTATGATAGCATATAATGAAAGTGGAAAAGATTTCAATCTATCTACAATAAGAGTAAGTACTGTTAACTGAACAGTCATCTATTTAATGTATGTACCTGCATATATCTCTTTTGTTAAGTAGATATTTCGTAACAGTTTTCTTAAAATTTCAATTTAAAGTCTCCCTTCAAAACATGCATTTATTTCCATACGTAATTTTTTTTTCAACACTTTTAACAGCTACTTCAGTTATATTTTAAATAAAAACTTGATCTTAAAATATCTAAATAACTTACTGTACTATTAAAATAATAAGTTTTAAAAGGAGAATTTGATCAATCTGAGAAATAAAATTTTTGAACATTATCTTAATTACATGCTAATAAAAAGTTTTCATGAGATTGTCTGAGTTTTAGTTATATATAAGAATACAAATATAGGTCTTGAAATTATATCACTGACAAGTAATTTGAAAATTTTAATTCGAAGAAGATTTACTTATGAAATTTTGTAGAAAAATTTGCTATGTGATGTTTTAAGAAAACATTTGTTAAATTGTGAAATTTATTCAGAAAATTAAACTAAAAAACTGCACTTCTATAAGCAAATGCCCTCCTAGACCAAAAATTCTTTATACACATAATAAAAATTCCAGAATGTTTTTAGAAATTTAAGTTTACATTTTAAAAAAATCAGTAATGTATATATAGGACTAAAGCTATATAGTGAAGGGCAATATAGTATAATAGTGCATAAAGGCAATATAGTGACCAAACTTTTTCTTTAAGTTAAATTATTTTATGTATGAGTTAGTTCGGTACTCTGAAAGCTCTCTACTTTTCCTTTTGTTATCCGAATAAAAATTACCATTTTGATATGTTTATGTTATTGATAATAATCATGATATTATCATGTCCAATAGTTATAATTAACAGTAATGATCGCAATATTATTATATTCAATGTGTATTGTTTCTGCTAATTCTCATGATATTGTTATATTTGATACATCTATGTGTATTATTGGTGACCAGTATCCTGTGCAAATCAGAAATTGGCAGTGATCCTACGTGTTGGCGAATTTGCATTAATGGTCTCTGTGAAGAAATTATTGTTGATTTATCATTAGTTGAAGAGGAAGATGATATTAAATATTTGAGCAAGAAGATTGCAATTGAGGCAGTTCAAATTATTCATTATTTTATTCCAGAGTGATGCTGGCTAGCAATGATATATTAAACATCATAAACTGCTTAAATAAAGAATCAAATTATGATAAATAACAAAAAGTGTTTTATTTTTGAAATATATGGAACTCCAAAGTAAAGAGAAACCTTATTTTTATGTACATATAATTATTAAATATAAACGAAATTTTAAAAATGGCCCGAAGGGCGTGGCTGCAGAGGCAAGCCCCACAGTACACCTCTGTCGTCCCAGAAATCAAAAATGTGAGTGTCATATATACGTTAGCATGGGTTTTGCCAAGGAAAGTTAAGGTATCCATGCATTGGCTATTAATTTATTGACTTGGCATATTTTCTCAGCTTTATGCATTATGTATTGACAGAAAAGAATATGTTAGGAATAATAACGAATTTTAATAAATTCAAAACGTTAGCAACCATATAACAGTTTTCGAATTCGAGGATAATGTGTTAAGCAGATGTTGAGGGAATCTCTAAAAATATATTTTATTCTGCCTTCAATTCAAGGTTGTCGAATAAAAAGATTACCAATCATATTAATGATTTTTATATGCTGAGAAAAGGATTAAATAAGATAATTTAGTTTTTAAATGTTATGAAATATGCTATGCATATTTCAGCATGACAGTCTCTATAATCAGTAAGTACCAAAAATGTTTCTCTGAACAATTTGGAAAGGTGTTGCCATTATATTTCCTCAAACCCTCCAAACATAGACAACTAAGCTAGAAAATTAAAAATACTAAGTCAATCTAAATAAAGCTTCAAACAAATGTCAATGCTTGTCATTCACCATTACTACATCTATTCATTCTAATTCTTAAATATTCTCCAGAAAAATCAGACAAGTTCGTGTGTTAGGAAACCATGTGGCACCACAACCTATCTAGAAAGGGTGTAAGCACTAGTTGGAGTATTTTTTTAAAGTGAAAGTTAATTAAGTGGTTGTTATGCAGCATTGTTGAGAGCAGACAAGATTGTTTGTAGGTTTGGAAAAATGCTCTATCAAATAAAAAGATATGAATTAAACTTAGAAATTTTGTTTTGTGGTACTTAAATTCAGTTTAGACTTTTCTATCCTGAGCAATTTTATATCTGTATATCCCACTGATCGGCAAATCCTTGTATTATATGTAGATATCACTTGAGTTTTTCCTTTTGATATAAACTTGTTTAATTAAAAAATCTCCCTAATTTTTTTTAAGACTTGCTTTTGTTCCTCCTCAAGAGACATATAAATTTTAATATTCTCCCGCATAGAACTAGTCACAACAAAAAAGGGTGGAGCATATTTTCTGGATGCCATTTTTAAGTGTTGCAAGCTGTCTAGTTTTTCCACTTGCTAAACAGCACAACAGAAAAGGGAGAAAGAACCAGTCATAAAATGCCTTTTAAAAAATGGAGCTAGCTTTTTTTTGCCTCAATCAATCTCTTTAGTTGCTTAAAATTTTATACATTTAAATAATTTCAAATATCATTTGACTACATATTCTTTTTTTTTCTAGGGACATGTAACAAATGCCTGTGTGGTTGTTACGCCAGAAGATTTTAATAGCAACGTTGTCACGATAAAGCACAAAACCAAAGGTGAGGAAATTGTTTTAAAAGTTAATACATTAAATTTCAAATTCTTCTAGATATCTAATGTATTATTGATTTGCATAAATTATATATTTTTCAGATTTGGTTGATATATTTGGACATACAGAATCTTACATTGTATCTGATGCTCGTCTCCCAGTTTTTGTGAGACAGATGGCTTTACACGCAAATGTAAGTATTATCAAAAAATTTTGACTCTATTCTAAATTGTTTTGGTTTTTATTGATTCAAATTTTAATCTACTTAATGTAACTCCTCACTTCTCAAAAATATATATTAAAAAATTATAACAAAAACTGTGACACGTTTTTGTGAATAATAATTAAATAGCCTCTTCTTATATTATGCTTGTCAGGGCACAATAAAAAAGACCTAATAACTGTCCTCGTCAGGGTGACTCTTTTGAGCCTTTTCTTCAATATTCCTCTGGCGAAGGTAATTCGAGAATCTAGTATTGACACTTGCAAAACCATCCTTTATACGTCAGTTCAGCTCTTGGCTTAGCTTGGTAATGCTGATGGGTAATTGGAGTGTCTCAGACTTGATAGGTAATAGGAGTGTCTCAGGCTTGATAGGTAATAGGAGTGTCTCAGGCTTGATATGTAATAGGAATGTCTCAGACTTGAGAAGAATCATTTGAAGCTCATTAAAGGTTACTGCATATTGCATGAGATTTACAGTAAATGACTTTAAAACCAAGTGTATGTCTGAGCAGGAAACACCATTTAGTAACACACTCAATCTTCTAAAAATTCGTATTCATGAACTCTAACTGATTTTAATTACCACAGATTTTTTTTTCTGTTAATGAAAACTCATCAAATGTTTTTTGGAACTTTTTATATCTAAAATTGTAGCTTTCAAGAGAGGTTCTCAGAGACATTTTTGTTGTGTTGCTAGAATGGGTGAAAAATTATTATTGCAAAGCCCTTCACTAATAAAGAAAAAGAGTGGGTTAAGAACAATAATGGTTCAATTCTCTTTTGAATTAGATTTTAAAGTAATTGGGGGTGGAAAAAAACCCAGATTAGATCTAAGAATTAATGGTGTTGGCGGAACCCTTTATTAACCGTTAATGAGACACTTTTCAATCTTTCAAATTAAAAACAAGATCTGTAGAAATTCTTTATTAACTTCTTAAGAGACATTTAACATTCAATCTCGTGAATTATAAATTTTATACTGCTGCAGTTAGGCAAGAGCTATCAAGTAACTGTTACCTGAAGTTTCGCCTTTCAGTACCCAAAAGAAAATTTCAAGTAGTTAAAGATTATTTAAACCCAGTTCAACAACCAAAAAGATGAATTACACATGGTAAATGAACCGTTTTTAAACACATTTAATTCCCTAACAAGACATTTAGCATTTGATATTTTTAAACTTCAAGTTTGTGACTGCTATGCTTAATTAACTGCTATGCTTATAAAATCACTGATACAGAAAATATTTTCTTACCCCCCCCCCTCAAAAGAAATAATATAAGGAAATAGAGTTTTATATTTTTACCTCAAAACCTCTAATTTATATGAGAAATTATCTCAAGTTTATTAAGTATAACAATTATGTAATTTCAATTTTGTTTTTCAGCTTGCATCACTAATAATTAGTAGGCGACAACAATCCGTCAAATATACTCATGTGTCCAATTGGCTGGAAAGGTTAAGAACTATTAAACGCTTACGTGCTAAAGTTTTGGATGAAATAAAAAATAACGCTGATAACTTAGGTTTTGAAACTTTTGATGCTGGAGATTTTGACGATTTTACTGACTATGTGTAACTATACTTTTTAACTATAGCGTGAGTTGTGTATAGTATTTTTTAAGCGCTACCTACCTGAATTTAACAATTATTAATGTAAAGAAGTTTCATTGTTTTTAAATGTTTGTCTGTAATGTTTTAAGTTACAATAAATGATATTTTTGATATAAACTAGTGTATTTTTTCTCTCCTTAAAACTGAATAAAATAAAATGATTCTGGTGCAGCAAAATTAATTGTTAATGTTACTATTATAATTGTTAGCACACAATTATGTTAACAACATTGTTAATACACAATTGTTAACTTTTTAAAGATTTGATAACAGGAGTTAAGTCTTCAAAATTCTAACTTTAAAAATCAAATCAAAATGTAAGCTTAATTTGTTTTTTTTTTTCTATTTTTCTCTTATTATTAATTAAATTTGTGCAAAACTGTGTATAATAAATTGTGTATTTTATTTTAAGTTAGGATATTAAGTATTTTAAATATTAAACCCCTGTGAACCTTTGTTTCTTACTATGCAAGTTGGTTTGCATTATTGCAAGACTTAAAAATATAATTAGAATGATATTTTTACAACATATAAAAAATTACTGTCAATATACAATAGCTTGAATCTAATAGAAGAGACTAGATACTTTGACCTATCAATAATTCAACTTGCTGTTAGTTTGCTTTTGACTTGTCGTTTGACGATTGTCCTTTAGCGATTCATATTATTAAAAAATCTTTTTAGCAATATTACGAGAAAGAGAAAACCTAAATTTTCTTTTTAAGAGTATTTAAGAAAATTCTTACTTCAATACTACATTTCCCACATGGTTTAATTTTCTATCCACATCATTAGTAAGATTAATTTTATCTTCCAAGTTAGGAGTTTTTAGCTGTCGCTTAAACAGCATTTACACTAAACACTTCTTCCACACATACTCTTAAACGAAAAAAAAAAAACTCATTCAGAACTTGTTGGGTATTAAAGAATGAGGTATGCATACATCTAGATTAAATTGTTTCATTTTGAAATCAGAATACAATGCAGTGCAGTATTTATCCTAACGATGCAGAAAACAAGTTTACTAAAACAGATGTTATTTATTGGGCATGAGGGGTAAGAAATTGTTAGCTTATTTATTTGTGGGAACTATTTATTTTTAATTTTGGATTTTTAAGCTATAAAAATCTAATTTTATTGTTAAAAAAAAGCATTAAAAGAAGAAAAATATATCAATCAAGAATTAAGAAAATATGGATTTATCTTATTTTGCATTACAGCTTGAATTAAATTTATCATGTTTAAATTTGTTAAATAAAATTAAATTTATTCAATAAAGTTGTTTTGTTAACCTATTTTCAGCCTAAACACTTACTGTTGAAATTTTTTTAACTTATGCTAGTTTCTTAACTTAAGAGGGTTATTGACAAATTTAACTTTTGGAAAATGTATAATTATTGCATTTGACAATAATCATAGATTAAAATTTTAAGTTCTGTAAATAAAATAAAACAAATTTCATAAAAACCTAAAGTTCAATTGAATGGTTTGTCCATTGATTTGGTCAACAGTGCATAAGCACACGATTTTATTTCTTAAATAAAATAAAAAATTTTATACACGAAACTTTTTTTTGTGTCTTAATGAAATTTAAGCATATTTCAATGAATATAACACTATATTTTATAAAATTTCTATGCTCGGCCTAAATTGGGTTAATTTAATATAGTTATTTATTTAAACTTAACAGACGACTTCTTGTAATCATAAAGGTATATAATGATTTATAAATTAGTTCTGGCTTGATTTTAAGGCTCTATTGAAGTAACTTTGTAGTCTGCAGCACTTTTTTGTTGCTTGAAGGAAAAAATATTGCTCTACATAACAGTATAATATCATAGCAAAAAAAAATTTTAAATGCTTGAAAAAAAGAGTATTTGACTCTGAATTATATCCTGCCAGTTCGTTCTTATATAGGCCAGTGTCTAAAATAGCCCACTCTAAATTAAAATTCTAAATAAATTAATAACTAATATAAAATCCATATTTTTTTATTACATGCATTATGAAATCAGTATTTCATTAAATCAAACAATTTCTTTGAAATATTTTATTTAAATACAGCCTTAAACACAAATCGTTTTTAAAATAAGTTACAAAAAAATAAAACAATGCACGTTCAAACAAAGTTAAACTATTTATTTATAATAATGTCATAATTATTTAAAACTTAATAGATTAATATAAAATGCCATTTATATTACTCACTCATTTAATCAAGCAATTGTTTGAAGCAAAAACAAATACTTTTATGGCAAAAAATATTTCCATACTTTAATACAGTATGCTTTAATGTTTCTTTCAACTCAAGATCAAATTTTTTCCATGCAGGAAAAAAAAAGTAAAGCATAGTAGAATCCTGGTTGTTTGAAAAAAAGTGGAAATAAAGAAATTTTGGTTGAGATTTTAAAAAATTTCTAGATAAACTGGAAAGTCTTATTTTGTTCTCAGAAAAATGCAGTTAAGCAAAATTATGACTATAGAATATAATTATGAAATTTATAGTATATTTAAAGAACTGGATACTATTAAAGTTAGTGGATGGCTAGGGCATTTTTATAGATATAATGACTCAAACCAAACTCAATTAGTGACTTTTTTCAAAAATAGGATGTACATAAACCCCCTTCTAGGCTCAAGGCTTGTGGAGATAGCCTTAACTTGTGCCGGCTGTAGTGCTGAAGAAGAAGGGAACAGTGATTTTAAATTAATTGTTCTGATAGTGCCATTCAACAAGCCGGGCTTTTTATTATTCTTAGACGACTTCTGTCATATGCATGTCTTTTGATTTGCCATGTTTGATTTATTGTTGATGCATGCAAGAAAGCAAAACTTAATAGCTGAATATTTAAATTTCTTGCATGATGTTAAAATTTTAAAAAAAGGAAGTCATACGAATTACAATGATAAATGTAAAATATTAGGAGCTGCTTACAAAGATGTAACATTAAAAAACATAATAACAACCAAATTATATTATAATATTAAAATTTAACACTAATTAAATTTATTACACACCGATCCAATTTTAAGATTTAGTTCATTTAAATGAAATCATTTAACAGATTTTTTGTTTTTTGGGTAGTTGCCCAGTTTGCAACTCTCTAAATATGGTCTTGCTTACTGAGAAATTTGATCATTACAACTAAAATAAAACAATTTTAAGCTTAAGTGATGAAAATGCTGTTTGAACATTCATTTTATTTGCTTGGAAATTCTTTCTACATTTTAAATAATTGAAATTAAATAATTATCTTCAAATAACCAGGATTATACTGTAACAACTCAGGAAAACAAGATAAATATAACCATTTCTATTACATATCATTTAATACATTTAAATAAAATACTCCAACAACATAAAGTCTCAAAAATGTAAATTATTGCAATTTTAGCACAAAACATTCCCGACTGTTTATTGCTATCAAGCAGATAAAAATTCATATCTACCTTTTTTTCAATATAAGTGCACTAGAAAGGATGACTATTAAATTATTATTGAATAAAAATGGGTATAGTATTTAAGTAGATGAAAAAGATTTATAAGAAAACTACTCTAGTAATTTATTTATATAAAAAGTAGAAGCAACTTTGTGTTTTAACAAGAAGAAACAAGCTAGGGTGTATATGACAATTACAGTCAGAGATTGACGGCTGTCAAACTGACAGTTTCTGATCACAGAAAGCACCCTATGATAAACTTTCACAATTGTGCATTCCTGGAAAAGCGTGTCCATATGAATAATCACCCATCATTCAACTTGAGGGAGAAATGAATAATATTTTAGTTTTCCACATTATTCCAAGCAAACACACCCACTCTCTTCACTGCTGAAGGATTGCTTCTATAGTTATATAACTATGTCGTCTAGCTATAGTAAAGTTGTTAAGAGCTACAAGATGAAATCAATTATGATGGCAACTGGTAGAAAAATGCAAAGTTATTATTCCCATCTCAAAAAAGAAGTGAAATATATTGAGTTGTAGAGCATCATTATTTAGTATAAATAATGAATATTAATGTTAAGAACATAATGCCTAAAACACAGGGTTTTTTTTGGGGGGGAGGAGATAAGTATCTATTACTGCAAAAGGATCTTAGATCAAAAATAACTAGTTATCACAAGTTAAACTTTTTTTTTCAATGTTAAAACCTCTCTTAAACTTAGAACTTTTGAGATAAAGGTATCTCGTGATAGCTTTTTTTCCCCTAATATCATTATGTACCGTCACAGTGCAGGAAATTTAAAATAAAGTATGTTTAAAGCCTGTCCACAAGGTGTATTTTTTTTTTTTTTTTTTGCTAAATTGATGACAATTTTAAAATGTACTTTTTCCACATGGGATTCAGAACTTTTTCCAAAATGGGAACTTTAACATCGCAGTTTTCCACAAGTTCATACTATAAGCTATTTCATCTTCCAGTACATAGTCACTCTACTATAACTAGACACCACCTTTAAAAATACATACGTCAGCCACTCAGTATTAAACTGAACGTCCTGCACATGCAATAATGTCAAGCAACCTGAATCCTCTCTAATTTCTAGAAAACAATAAATTACTTCTTTTTTTTTTCAGTTAGTTTAAGAAGACATTTTTTTAAGTAGCAGTTAAAAAATATTCATAAAAACTAATTTAATAAATATTTATACATCTATCACAGTCTAAGATCAACGAGTCATAGTAAGCAATAAATATAAGCATTTCCCGTTGGAAAAACAGGAAACTGGTGTCAGTTGGCGTCTATCAGCACCATCATACTTTTTAAAATAAAGACCTTGTTTAAATAGTGGTCCAACTATAGCAATTAAAACATGGTGTTATAAAGGTCACTCAAGTCTTTATGCCTCTTACTTTGGCTGTCAAATATAGGGCACAGAAAATCAGATATAAAAGGCTCAATAGTTAGACATAAAAAAAAATGTGAAGTTGTCCCACAATACAAATAAGGCCTTCAAATATGACTAAGCAAATATATTCGAATATCTTATATGAAGACATTCTATAATTATCACATTTACAAAGAATTAGAATTAATAAGATAATGTTAAAGTCAATGTAAGTTAAGGTTAATGTAATAAGATAAAGTTAATGTAGAATAGTATGAATATTTTTTAAAATTGAAAAGTTTAAAATTATTTTAATGTAACAGTATAACAATAACTTTGCTTGAGGAATATTTAACAGACAATATAATTAAACATGTAACAGTATTTGAAAAATGTGTCATGTCAACAATTCTAGTGTTCAAAGGCTCAAAAAAGTTCTAAAAAAGCAGTACTGAGTTAAAAGCGGCTCTGAAATCAGTAATTATTTTTAAATAGTGAAACTTGTTTGAAAGCAAAAACAATATTTAAGTAAAAGGTTGCAAATAATATGCACTGGCATTGCTGAAATGATGTGGCAATTTAATCTGTTNTCATTATAGCGGGGTTTGACTGTAATATGCACTGGCATTGCTGAAATGATGTGGCAATTTAATCTGTTAAAGTTATTCAGAAATCATTCTAACTTCAAATAGAAAAACTATTTTTTAATTAAAATGATGCAAATATTTTGCATATTATAATAGTTCATAAAGAGTTCTAGAAATTAAAAACAAAAATAAACAGAGGAGATTCTATTTTTGCAACAATTATCTAAAGATTTTCTTTAGCATTTAATAAAAAAATAATAATTCTAAGCTTCTGAAATATGCATGCCTACTTTGTCATATCTCAAATGATATCTTTGTCGAATAAAAAAATACTTATAACAGTAAAAACTAATTTCAGAGGAAAATTTAGAAAATAATTATAAAAACTTAATTTTCTGAAAAAGAAGCTATATTATCATATTTCTAATACTTCTTCCTGACATATTTGTATCATAATTTATTTATCTATAATTTAAAATAGCATAAGTAAATATTGAACTTGTAGTTTTTAACCCAGCTTGGAAGACAGGGGTACTCCCTAAGTTCAAGAACTGTAATTAATTATTTACTAACAGAATATTAATTGGAGTGTATTAATGATACATATTTGTTCTTACAATACCACTCTCCTTCACCCCACCCCCCAAAAAATAATATATTTAAGTAATAAATATTGTTTTAGACGTTGACTAGTGGACCCATATAAAATAAAATAAAAATTAGCAAAATAAATAATAAAATCTTTTCTGTCAACAAACAGACTCTAATACAAGAAAAAAATATGAAGATCTATATATTGTAAATAAATTTACGGAGTTAAGTCATTACAACAACATCAAACATTCACAGACAAAACTTAATAAACAATCCTTGAGCACTATTAATATCACTAAGCTTTATGTATTAAAAACATTCTAAATATTTTTAAGTACACTTCATAATTCTACAAAGGCAAAACTGGTGACTAAACAAAATATATAATAGTTTTATCATCACTCATTTATATTCATAAATTTACTTTTAGACTTCTAAAAGTTTCAGTAAAATATTAGATCTAAAATATTTTTAAAAAATATATATACAGCAACAGGGCAGTGAAATTCTAAAGCACTAACTAGACTAAAATTTTTGCTTGCTACTATTTTCACGAAAAATGTAAATAATTTTCAAAATGCTACCATTAAGAACTTTTAGGTGACCAAAACCATTAAAGAATGTAGAAAATGAAAAACTGTACAAGTTTATTGCTAAAAAAACACACTGATATTAGATTTCAAGTGTCAATCACATATCATTATGTTATCACATGTCATTAAATTACTAACAAATATATGAAAATTAAATCATTAGAAATTTAACGTACAAAAAACTTACTCCCTAGCCCTAAATATTCAGTCACAAATGGGAAGTAGAAATTACACTCGCTGAAATACAATATTCCCAGAAACATTATACAATCTTTCATTATTTGAAACATTAGTACGAAATTCAGCCAAGTCCACAAAAAAATTTAAATTTACATAGAAAAAGTATTTTAAGAACTTCCTTCTAATTCTGCCCAATGCTTTGAAACAGATTGAAATAAATTTTTAAGTTTATTCTTGTCACATTAACATGAAAAGTTTTTATTTTTCCTTTTCAGTCTATGTTACTAAAAAAATATATTAGAGTAATTTCACTTTTTCATTAATTTTTAAAGAGTGAAATTTAAAAACGAGGATTGAACTTCAAAACTAATATCTATGTTCGTACCACCAAATCAGTGTCCCCCCTTCCTCCACGTTCAGAGAGAAGCCATACAGATTTTGACAATCTTTTATCATGTTCGGCACTGTAGGACAAATACTTGTCCTACAGTGAATTGAACTGCAGATTTTTTTAACTCAGCTAAACTGTACTGGGTTGCTCGAAGGAAACACTGATTTTTAGAATTTTCCTAGGTGATGGTAAAGTAATTAGTATGGGCTTAGTAGTATTTGATAAATGCACTACCTTAATTATAAACAATCAAAGAAATGTCAACGTAATACTAATACTTAAACAACAAATTTTGAAATAAGTTAACCACAATATAAATATCACAGTAAAGATATAGAGGTAAATTTTGATAGCTATTCTATGCTATCTTTTAAGAATATTGATTTTAAAGCAATTAAAATATCAAAGTTAAAAACACCATAACACCGATTGTTCTACAGATATTTCAATATATTAAAACAATAAAAACACAACTACTCAAACAACTAATAAAAACAAATGCTTATATACTTCACTAACATAAACATTAAAATAAACAAATAGTAATTCATTAAAAAGCATGCTTATAAGTAAGGCCACCATAAGCAGACATAGAGATTCATCGTAAAATTTCAATAATTAATAGAATTTAACAAATAACAAGAAAAGAGCATCATAATATATTTAATTACAGCAAAAAGTGTTATCGATCATAATATGGGCTTATGTTTTTAACACGTGTATGAATAATCATCATAAGATTCTTTAAAAAATATTTGTTTGCTTTATAATTCACAATTTCATATTTTTAAATCAAGCAATTTATCACAGATATCTCCATCTGATTCACATAGAACTTTTATATTGCAGATGCAATGGTCACTTCTTTCTTTTTCAAGCTGCAATCGAATCTAAAATTTTAAAAAATTTTTGCATGTTTATTTCAGTTTATAAAGCAATAAAGTAACAATAAAAATAAGAAACAGATCACATGTTGAATGTAAAATTCTCTTCTTTTCCATCTTTACTTCTCTTCAATTATTTATCTCATTTTGCTTTTTTGACTAGTTGTGTTTAATCAAATCAAGGTTTTGAATGAAATTATCTGTTTGATTTCACAACAGATTTTCAGCATCACATGAATTTGTTGTGAACCAATTAAAATTTCCATTTTATAGTTCTTTGTAATCTCAACACAGCAGTGAGCAAATGCTAATTTACTGCCCATGCACAAATACGTAATTCTGAAATTGTTTTAAATTTAATCTACTTTTAAAAACTAAGCAAGTTAAATAAAAATTTCATCCCCGTTGTTGATTTTTTTTAAAAATAGAAAAAGTTCAAAATTAACATTTGTTTTTGAAATATAAGAAAAACCGTACATCATTTTTAAAAAAATAGATTTCATAATTATTTTTAAAAAATTTGCTTTAAAAACTTATCTTACACCTTTATACTGCTTTTCAAACAATATGGCTTAATGAATGATGCAATGATTTGTTCTCCCCCCGCCTCATTGAAGGAGAAATATGATTCTTCTTAAAAAAGAAACTAATTTTTATTTATCAACTTTCATATCTATGATGTTGCGGTTTTCAAAATATCTTCTTCACATATCCTTTGTGGTATTTTTTTTCCAATTATATTTACATATATATAAAGGGTGATTCTAAAAAGATGGGCAAAATTTTAGGAAATGATAGTACACACCCAAGCAAAAAATTTTTATCAAAGAATGCATGGTCGAAAACAAAACGCAAAGGTGCTGAAGCCTTTTGAAAGTTGTTTGATGCGAACGTTAAAGCTCCATTCCTGTTGCGAGTTACTGCACTGCATTACTTGTCGCCAAGCACACACACACGCACGCACACAGATATATATATAAGTTCAAAATGAAGAATAAAACGAAGAAAAATTAAAGACACATGAAAAAGGGGAAAATAATAAGTAAAAAAAATAACAAACAGCAGTTTAAAATTAAAAAAAAGGATGAAATTTTTTTTAAAAAACCGGGGGGAAAAAGATATAATCTTTTCATCAGCCCACACGATTATATCCGTAAAATTTTAGATTTTAGATTTTTTCTTAAATAAACATCTATTTTCTAAAACTATTTATGGTCAATTTTTAAAATTATCCAGTATAATATTACCTTGCGCACATCCATTTCGGGCCCGTCTTTGGTAACTAACAAATCAATGAACAGAATAACAAATCACTTCAGCAGTGCAGTAAGAACGGCACTTAAAAACCCTCTTGTTACACTCAATTTGCACTTTTGTTTTCATATTTTGTAATCTGGCATTCTTTCTGCAAAAACATTATTAAATCATTCTTGAAAAATTTCCGTCCATGTAAGTTGATCTGATTTCGCTACTCGCTTTATAGTCCAATTTTACTGTTTTTTCTTTTTATTTTATTTTATTTTCTGTTTTTCCATGTTATTTTTACTTTTTGTGTTCTATTTCATTTGTTGTAATTTTTATAAAAAAAAATTTTGAGTGCTCCTCACACTATTGTATTAATATATTTTGCTTTGGCTTTATTGATACAATATCAGAATGCACTCTGTTTTACGGATATAATCGTGTGGGCTGATGAAAAGATTAATATCTTTTTTTTTCCGGTTTTTTAAATAAAATTTCATCTTTTTTTTTTAACTGTTGTTTGTTATTTTTTTACTTATTATTTCCCCCTTTTTCATATGTCTTTGATTTTTCCTTGTTTTATTCTTCATTTTGAACTTATCTAATGGGTTCTGTTTACTTGCAGCTTAAGCACAATAAATGAAACTTATTGTTTTTCTTAACTTTCTTCGTGTTTTCTTGTATTTATTTATTTAGATAGATAGAGAGATAGATAGATATAATATATATATATATATATAGAGAGAGAGAGAGAGAGAGTAAGAGAGAGAGAGATATTGACATACATGTATTCTTTCTAATTACCTCTTCAGTCATTACAACAATTCTGCCTTCAACTTTAGGTCTTAGCTGACACTGTTTCATTTCAACTTCTTCTATAATAGGAAGTACTATTTGCTCATTATGCTGATCATTTACTTTATGCACTTGGAACCGTCCTACCTCTTCCAACATTTTGACTGCACTATGCCTATTGCATAAAAAAAATAATACTTCGAATCATAAAACCTAATCATTTAGAAAAAAATTGCAATAAATTACTTAAATTTTTTACAATTTTAGATTAAAAATGAATAAATAATAGCTCTAATGAATTGAATAAATAATAACTCCAATTAATCATCGTCAGAAAATTTTAAATCTTCTATAGGAAAGAAAAATAATACATTTAAAATTAAATTAAACATGTACATCAATGTAAAAAAGTTCATAACATTGAAAGCATATAGCAACTAATAAGAAAAATATTTAGAATAGCTTAATACCTTCTAGATAAACATATTAGACTTTGACGGTGATTTGTTTGATGTTGTACAGCTCCAGTAAGTACTTTTATAGCATGAAAATGGTTTTGCACAATTGTACAGAGTTCAGGACATTCTTCTTCGGTCATCTATGTTAAAACAAAGTATAATAAATTGATATTGCATAACATAATAAAACAGTAAGAGAAGATCATTTAAATTACACTTACTAATGTTTTGCAATTCTTAAGACAATCATATCCATCTCTCCCTTGGCATAAATATGATTTCGTGACTAATCTATAATGCTAAAAGATATTCATGTTAAAACACGTGCACACCCATTTCATATTATGATTGGACAAAAATTATGCATAATACTATGTATTTTATAGCAAAACTAAGAATATAAAAATAAATGAAATGGTTTTAAGGATAGGTTAAGTAAAATGTAAATAAACTATTAAAATAAAAGCAACACAAGTATGTAATTGAAGCTGAAATATATTAACTTCTGCAACTGGTAAGTTAAATTAAACAAAATTTAATGCTTTTTATATTAGCCAAGCGCTAAGATACATTTATGTATTTATTTTTTAACCTTATGCCAAAACGGATTGTATTAGATTGCTAATAAAATGTGTGTAATTAACTAATTAAACAACTTATATGTTCTCGTCTGAATGTGAGGCAATAATTACAGTGTCAAAGTTTTATTTCTTTTCAAATAAATAAGATAAATCAGTTTTAAAATTTGAACTAACTAAATTGATATTCTGCAGTTCGTAATAATCTACTTCCCAACATTTTGATAAAAAATTATGTCTACTTTCTTTGGCTCATATTGGCTCAGAAAAAAAGCAATTAAGTACAAAAAATTGCATTCAACATTATGATATACAATTTCTGAAACTCAAGCCAACTAGAGATAAGAGAGTTAAAACCAAACTATACACACGTTTCCCCTTTCACAATCAAAAAATTTTTTTCTTATTTTATTGATTTCATTGTAATTGTTTCCTGTCATTATTATTATTTTTGTAATAGTGAAAGAAATTCTTAAAAGACTAACTAATATTTAAAAAAATATCCTATGGATCTTGAGCGAGATCCTCCAACAATAAACAAGCGCTTCTTCCAGTTTTGATCGATACTTCATACAGAAGACTTCACAATCAGGAGTCTTTTTTTTTTCTTTTGAAATATTAAATTAAAACTAATTTACAGAATTAAGATCCGTAGTTCATTTTAGTCAAATTGCTAAATGTTTACAGACCCAAATTTTAAATTTTTACACACATTCATATTATTTTTTTTTATATATATTTCATTTAGAATTTGAAATAAATATTCATACATATTTTGCATACCTGTCCTAAGTCCAAGTATTCATCACCAATTTTAATGAATCTTGAATCAATTCTGTGATGAGGAGGTTTCGAAGGATCAAAGGCAAAGCGTATCCCTGAGACTTGCGGAAACCTACCTTCTAGTTTTGGATACTGAGACACACCATTTTCTAATGCTCTATATAGCTGCTCCCCTAAAGTAAAAAAGTTTAAATACATATATAACAAAAAGTTTTGCGCATATAAACTTTAAGAATTTTATTTTTATTTATTTATTCATTCCTATGTATGGGTTTTTACTGTCCTACAAGCTAATAAGCAGAGCTATAAGTTTCATTTCTCAGGTTTTCTTTTTAAAAGACCAAAACTTCAAGACAAAATGCATCATTTAAAAGAAATTTGCAAAGAAACGTAATAAAAATATTTAAAAGATTCAAAAACCATATTTGTTTAACGGCTTACACTTTTTCAACTACAAATGGCATCAATTGTTGTAAAAGAACATTTTAAATAAAATCTACAGTCAAAATAAAAATATTCAAAACCTTATCTCAAAAATAACCTACAACATGATACTATGAAAAATAATTTACCAACATTTCTTAAAAATAAAAGTCTAAATTACATTACTCCACTACATTACATTACTTCTCAACAATACTTAAGTTATAAGAAACTACATTACTTATAACTAAAATGTGTTCTTCATTTAACTCAAAAAATATCATTTAATGAGTTTGAAAATCATAAGAATGTCCACACAAAAAATGTTGAAAGTCGGATTTAAGCTTCATAAATAATAATTTAAAATTTTTGAGCTTTTTTTTAAAAAAAAAAAAGAAAAAAAAGAAATTTTTAGAATGAAGCAAAATAGTTTTAAAAGCAAATCCCAACTATAAATTCAAAAAATTTTCTATTTTTAGAACTACAAGCTAGTGAATGATTTCCTAACTAAACATGATCATCTTTTTATATAAATTTCTTACACTTTTATAGTAGTACTTTATTCGTGTAACACTAGAGATGTACAATAGCCTATTGACGAGGATCTAGGATGCATTCCTGAGGATGATTCATGCCATCACAATTTTGATCTTTTGCAGAGCGATCGGCTCTTCTACTTTGATGGTCCGATATGATCTGTGCAAGATGTCACGCATTTAACAGTAGAGCAGTTTATTGAAGACTTATATCATACAGCCCTGTGTAGGCTGATTAAAGTGGTCAGAAATCCACTCACTGACCACAACCAGTGATGCTTGACTTTTGTGTTCTACTAAGAACCATATCTTTATGATTAACTCACTGCTGTATTCATATTTTTGACAATTCTTGTTTCTACATATACAATTTATTAATTCACTAATATTTTTCAAGGGTCTTAAAATTCTGATACCTGATAAGCAGAAATATTCAATAAATTGTTACAAACCAGAAACACTGATCACTAATAAGGAGTCCATCATAGGTAAAATAGTAACTAAATCCCTCATTGTAAAAGGTCCCTTAGGATGAATTCTATCAGATCTTAAAGTTCCAGAATTTAGAATAGCCACATCAGAATGTGTTGCAGATAACATGATATCACAAACAAAGTTGCCTGAAAAATAATAAATTTACAAGCAAATAAATAACAACAACAATCCAATTTTCAAAAAAAGCGTATGAATAATAGATGAAAAATTTAATACAAAAATTTTAAAAAATTTTCAATATTTTTTATGAAACTGTACATATTTATTATGAAACATGAACTTTACATTTTTTATTATGAAACTGTACACATTTATTAATTAAAAATAATTGTTTCAACAAAAAATGAAATATTTAAGATATTGTCAGTAATAAAGCGAAAATAATTAAAGCTATTTAAGTGTGGTCTGATTCCTGAAATTTCCGAAATAGAAAATCGGAAATTATTTCTGACATTTATTTGAAATAAACATTTAAAATATAAAGAAAATTATGAAACATACATATAATTACAAGATAAACAAAAAATAAGAATGTAGATAAGTTTAAAACAAAATTATGGGGCATGTTCAATAAGATACTTGAATCTTAACATAATTTAAATTAAGCTTATCACTAATCTCCAATTTTATTTTATAACATCAAAACATTTATCATAAATATGGTAAAAAGTTATGAATTTAACATAGTAATAAGTTTTATAAGTTAATGTATATAAATTTAAAACAACATCATGAGGCATAAGCTAAAGTTAAACAATTAAAACTGTTAAGCGACGAACTTCTCAAAAGTTGAAGAAATTTAGAGAAGGCTTCAAAAGTTCCTTGTCCGGGAATAGAACTCATAGATAAAATTTGCTACATTTACTTTACTGAACTTCTGCAAACTTAATTAAGTATTAAACACAACAAAAATCCTCTGAAAAAATAATTCCTTAAATATTTTGTCAAAGGAAAATAAAAATATTTTAAAGAAATAAAGATGATAAAATTACCGAGATTTGTTTCTTGAGTTCGAATGCTTGAAAATCGTCCATCTAAGTCCACAGAAAATTCACAAAGTATTTCATCCATTTTACCTTCTACCACACCTAAAAAATTTAGAGAGAAAAAAATGCTTGAAAGAAACAAAATATATATAAAACATATATTTCTTGCCCTTTTACTAATTTTATAAGCAAAATATAGCAAGTTTAACAATAATCAGCAATTTTTATACAATTAATTATTTTAGTTATTTTGCTTTTTTGTATCTCATCTGTAACAAATACTTCTTGTCTAATTTAAAGAACTTAAATTCATTTCTTTATTCATACATACAATTTCAATTTTACTGCACATTTAATTCAATAGTTAAAAAGAGAAAATTTTCTCTGGTTATTATTGCATTTTCTGCACGAAAAAATTTTTTTTTTCTATACCCTATTAGGTTTCTATTATAAATGACATTTTTTCAAAGGACAACAACTTTAAATCTGTTCGATACTTACTGATGAGTTACATCAGATTCAATTTTAATTCATAATTAATTAGAATAAATGTTTAGTTTGTTTTCAATAAATACTAAAAAGTACAAACTCTACATTTGCATTTTCTTTCAGAAATATGTCAGCTTTTAACTTTTTTCATAAGTTAGAAAATTATTATCCAACAATATAATTAGATTGCTAATAAAATATCTGAAAAAGTATCTAGAAATAGCATGTTTAATTTATAAACAGAATTTAAAATTGAAAAAAAAAATAAGAAAACAATTCTGAAAAGGCATCAAGCACTAAACCATTCAATCTTTTCTTTTTCTCATTTAAATTCTTAATACCTTTATGGCATTTAAAAGCAATAATTAATTTGTGAACATTTTCAAAGCTAATTTTTAGTTCAAAAGTCCTTAAAAGTAATGTTAAATATTTTTTAAAACAAATTTAACATTTCCACAAAAGTCTTTAAATTTTTGTTAAATTTAAAATGCGGTTAAATAGTGACCTTGTAAAATTTTTGAAGAAAAATAAATCTCATTGATGTAAGAATATAATCCTATTTGTATCCAATCCTAATTTACTCACTAGTTATCAATCATTTTTGAAATAATTTACTTAAACAATCAATTTACAATTGACAGAGAATAAATTACACAGTGAATGAATAATTAGCCCAACACAATAGGTTTAACTTCAAATTATCTTAATGTTTTTTCCACTTAAGTTCACACCTTTCTTGCATCAATGCATCACTGAATTCTTCCTTGGAATGCATGCATTATCTAATCAGAATTATGATAACAGTTAAAATTCATGAAGTGTATTAAAGATTTGTAATATATAATTGAAACTACTTTTGATCATGGGTAATTATCCATATATTTTTAATTACTACCATACTCCTAAAATAAAATAATTTTAATTGTGTGCAGAATAAATAAGTTCATGAAGGACAACTCATTTTACGCATTTTCAGGAAACACATTTGGTTCTCCAGTCATCTTTAAATGGATATGTTTCACTTCACTAACATAACTGAATTATAGATAATGCAGCAAATGATTTTGAGTATAACTTTTTAATTCTATGGAATCATAAACAATTTTTCCTTGGAATGAAAACAACTTTCATGGATGACAACTTCAGTAGCATCAAAATACAGAAGAATGCTGTTTTATATTTCTACCATTGCATTTTATATAGTTGCAATCAATCTTCCTGCAGTGTAATACTTATTTTATGTATTTATAAATTTTCATTTGAATATATTGGCAAATATGCAGCATAAATATTTTTCAGCAAACAATTTGAGTAAAACCAATTTTTAAAACTTTTACACAGACTTTAATCTAAAAGGCAAAGAGAGATTTGACCTTTAAAACTACAACTACAACTTCTTAAAAAAAGATATAAACATTTAGTTTTTATGTAATGAATACATAAAACATTTAAATAACATAAACTTAAACTGAAAAGCCACACATAATTATCTTGAAGTCTGCATGGCATAATTATAAATCTCCACCTTAAACATTTATCAATAGTATAAATTGAACTTCATAAAAAAATTTAAATATAAATTTTAAGCAATGCCTTAAAATATTCACACAGAAAAAAAAATTAAATACTTTTTAATTGATAAAAATAATATGTAGTTATTTCTTTTCAATTATTAAATCAACATGTACAATTCAATTAAACATAATTCAAAACAAAACTAAAACCCTAACACATTACATATTTAATATTATAAGTAACACGCTCATTTAGTTTTTTTATTGAGTAAAAAAAATAGCTATTAGGCAAAAAATACATAAAATTGCAAATTTAATATATTGTAATCAACAATTGTATTTTTATTTTGGGCTTTTCTAATAAGAAAAAAAAATACTAATAAACAAAAAATAATTTAAGGACTGATTTAATAACTCCTGAAAACATTGTGTGAATTACATACACCCATTTAAAATTTTTAAAAGTTCTCTAGCAGAATACTCCTTAATTCTGTCAATTCTTTCAAAATTCTTAAACAGAAATTTTTTAGAACATCATTTAGATTTGGAAACAAAAAGTCACCAAAAGATTTTTCCAAAGGGCATGATCCCCAAACTCTAAGGCTAAACAAAATTCCATAACCAACAAAACTAAAACACTTTACAAAAAAGTGAGGTTCAAAGATTTGAAGCCATTAAGAAAAGCACAAGATCAGAAGTAAACAAAATCATACCACAGATGGAAGCTATATTGAAAAATACTAAATTAGTAAGTAATTCATAATTAATTAATACACCCAATATTTTTAGGAGTAATTAGATCAATCCGGGAAATTAATAACCACACTTTGTATAAATTGCAATTCATTACAGATTACATATTTAACAATAAAACTATCAAATTACTATGCAAATTTAAATATTTAATTTACTACATTTACCTTTATACTTTAACAATTCTTGTTCAAGATTTGGATCAGGGGTGTAATCAGAGGTAACTGCTTGCTTTTCAATGCTAACATCTACCTGGTCACAATTGAAATGAAGAGTAATTTTTGAAAAATGCTGAAAATCTGTCCCACTTTTTATGATGTATTTATTGTTAACCTAAAATAGAAAATAATCAACAAATAAATAGATTTTAAGAGAAAGTTACATCATTTTTTTTTAAACGTAGCCATTATATTTGGATATACAAAATTTACAATTTGTTTGCAAAGAGAAAATACTTAAATTTTTGAATTAAAAAGAGCAAAGCAATCCTACAACAATCAGTTGTTCACTAAGGTTATAGAGATTAAGACTTGATAATTTAAAAATGAAACAAACAGCGTAATAGTGGTAAGCAAGCTGCCTTGACTCCTCAGACAAGTTGGTACTCATTGATCTAAAGCTAATTGAGCTTCAGACCACCATCATGGATAAAACATGTCCTTTACAAAGACAACTAATTGCCACCATGGCTAAATGATTGAATTAATTACACAAAAATTTCTAAACAGTTCTGCTCGATTATTTCTTGTTGAATGTGTGACTTATAGACCGCGTGTTTCTATGTGACATTTTATAACTTCTGTTCAAATGCTGTACTCAACCACCACTTTTGTAGTTTCAGAATTTCAGCCAATTTCCTTTTGTCAATGAGTGTTGATTTTCTTTCCTTTGATTGACACTCAAAAATTTACACCTAAATTGGTTATTGAATTTGAACAACGCAGATCATTTTTTCTCAAATTAGGCTCTACATAAAATATAATTAATGTTAATTCCACTTAGTAACTACCGATTCCAACCTCCTTCTCCAAAACAAAAAAGAAAGAAAGAAAAGAAATTCAAATTAGACTTGTTTTTGCTCTTTTAATAAACTATAAGATATCACTGAATAAGTTTTATACATTTATAAATAAATTTCAGTTTTAAAACTGTTGTATAGTAAAAATGTTCTCTAATGCCTATAAACAGTAAAATTATGTAGCATTATTGCATATAAAAATGAATCATACTTTTTGAATTTCATAGACATGGTCATGTCCACCTAAAATCAGATCTATCCCTTCCACATTTTCAGCTAGACGGATGTCATTGGGAGTTCTCATATGAGTCAAGGCAATGACACAATCAACACCATCCTAATCGAACAAACATTTAAATGTGATTATTTAATTCAAGTAATTTATAAATACGTGTTATTGGCTAAATATTGAAACTAGTACTTTATACATCAATAGTAATCATTATATTTAACTTATGGATTATATCATTTAAACAAATACAGTAACTAGTTTAGTACAGTAGTGAGCATATTAATTTAAACAAATGCATAGTAATTTGAAAAACAACAGTTCAATGGGAATTTTAATGCATTTTGATTTAATTAACATAATTTAATATTCCCTCTTTTGGATTTTAGAAAAAGGTTCATTTGTTTTTGTAAAGATTCTACAAGACTTTTATAGTTTTAGGGGATATTTTAATTTCTACACCATACTTGAATTAATGACTATTTTTTCATTTGGCAATCCATTTCAGCTAGTCTTTACTTGAAATCCGCAGATACTTCCTAATATTAAAACCCATAGAGTTTGCCAGCCTCTCTAAATCTCTACAATGGCTGCACTTTTTAAAAATAAATAAAATGTAACCAGGAGTTAAATTTTGATAAAAAAAATTCTATCTTCGTTAGCAAACTCTGGTCACAATTTTTCTTGTACTCCATGTACTAGTTGTTACTGTCTATCATTCTTTAAAGAGAATTAAGGGATGAATCTTATGCCCTTAATACAAAAAACACCTCCAAAAAACTTTCTTTTTTTTTCTATTTAATTTTAAGACACAAAGAGTTACAACTACCCTTGATTCAATTTATAAACTTGCAACTACTATTATGAATTAAAACTAAATATACTAATGCCCAACATTTATAACAAAGTAAAAATTAGTAAAGTTAATTAATGTAAGTTGCATAAAAAAAACTTACTTTTACTTTCAAATTCTAATACATAGTAATTAAAACTAATTAAAAAAAAGTGAAAAATACTGAAAAAAGTCAAACAAAATCAGCAAATACAACAAATTACATTTTTAAAGACAATTTTTAAACAAAACTAAATTAAAATGTCAAATTTAATAATTTTAAACGAATTCAACTTTGAAAACTAGTTTTAAAACTCATTAAAATACAGGATAATACAGGTAAAAAATTATAATAAATGAGAAGTTATTTATATATAGGTATAAGTAACTTATTCAAGATAAATATGACAATCATAAAAATGACACTTAATAGTTAAGACCTTTTCTCTCAGTTCTTTTGCTAACTTTTCTCCCTTTTCTACAAAATCAAAATAAGTCACTTCATCAGCTTCAATGGTGGCTAATGTTGCTAACCATTCTTCTTCCACAAGCCCAATAATACCAAACTAGGAAATTAATACAAAACTTTTAATCATCAATTTATGCACAAATTAATTTATAAAAATACATAGTTATACATAAAGACTTATAAATTTTACTTTTTTTCCCTTTCTTTCTAAGACATGAGTCACCAAACCATCTGCTAAAGGTCTTCCTGTCTCATTATCTATAACATTACTTATCAACCATGGGAATGTTGTGCGTTTTGCAAAATCAGCAAGTAAGTCAACTCCAAAATCTGAGAAAAAGATATATATTTTATTATATTTCCATGCTGAATGCAATCTTTAAAATACACATATTTAAGTTCAGATATCTAAATAAAAATGCCCGCACAACTCAAAAATATGTTTGCTCATTATGTCACTAAAATTAAGAGTACAAAGTTATTTTAAAGCTCAAAGCAAATATTAATATGAGAAATTTAATATTCCAGTCTTGTAAAAAAGTGAAGAAAAAACTGCTATTAACTGTATTTTATTATATCAAAGCACTATGTTTTGATTTTTTACCGTGCTTATGTTATTGAATAATTCAGCATAGGGCTACTGAATGGTATAATTAAGCTGCTTATGATTAAGCAAGCAATTTATACATAATGATGGTCTGCAACATAAGTACTAAAAACTGATTCTAATTATTTATTAAACATTAAATTATTATTAAATTATCATTTCATACTAGATACGAAACACTCATACTAAATATTGTTATTTAAGTTTCAAACTGTAATTATTTTTTATATAATGAACCACATTGGAGTAAGACTTTAATGATTTTAATTTGTAAAATAAAATGTTAAATTCAATTCATATTTCAATAGAACATTAAAAAGTTTTTGTAGTTAATAACTACAAATAATAAGTTAACAAAGAAATATGATGCATCTTTTTTCTAAAAATAATATTAATAATAATAAGTTTTAATAAATAATTTATATTTTAATACAAATAGTTAGAAATATTTACTATAATAAAATAAATATATTTGAAAATTTCCTTGATGCTACATAATAAAACCTTTTGGGATAACGAAAAAAAATAAAAGAAACATTTACATTAGAACTTTTTTTATTTAAATAATTAATACATAGCTAACTCAATTTTAATCAATTGCAGAATTAAAGCAAAGTAATGCAGCTTGAACCGACACAAAACTTGTATAAATAAATTTAGATGTCATTTTATTTCGCCAGGCTTAAAAATTGCTGAACTATTATAACAGTCTGTGATGCTTAATTAGCTATGGTAATAAGTATAAACTATTATAAGTACATAATATAGAAATATATTGCCTGAAACTAATAGACTTTTTTTCCCCTTTGAAAGAGAGTTGCATTTAAATTTATTTTTAAAAATATCAATTTAATTAATACAATAAAATGAAAATATAATCACCAAAATCATGGTTTCCAAATACAGCACAGTGAACTCCAAAAGAATTTAGAACAGGAATCATTTGCTCTCCTTTAGTAAATGTGCTCACTAAAATTATAAATTACATATCAGCCTAAATGTAAATAAAATATTAGTAAATATAATTTAAAATTATTACAACACAGTTAAAATATTTTTTTAACATGCAATAAATCATGAAGTTTAGTACTTAAATTTTTTCTGTAGTGAATTACAAATTATTTCTCTAGGATTAAAATTATAGTTAAAGTGTGTTTGTTCAATACTTAAGAACACAAAAATTATGTTTTCATATTTTCTGGGAAAATGCAAATATAAACCAAATTTTCCACAACATTAGAAATATTGATGTAAAATAAATTTTCATCCAAAAATAGTTAGTGAGCTGTCTTATTTTATGAGGGGAAAATATTTTTTGAAAGTAGAAAATTGACAAAGCTTTTAAGGTAAAGGATACTATAAGCAAAACATAATTAATGTTTTAATTTTCCATTTTAAAATTTACATTTAAGTAAATTAGTATAATTATTTGAATTATTAATTTAACTATTTGTATTATTATAAAGAGAACATTTCAAAACAAAATATGGAAAATGTAAAACAAAATATACATTTTTAAAACTTTGAAAATTACGCATGAAAAATTAAAAATAGTAATTCATAAACAAAAATTTGTAACATGAATGTAGATATAAAATTTGCACTTACTAATTGATGGAGCAAAGATATCCCCACTAAATAAAATTAAGGGGTCTAATGAGCTGAAGCTTTTCAATGCAGAACAAAATCTAGAAGCTCCTCCAACTGGTTCATAATTTTGACTTTCAACATTATAACAGTCATTGAAATGTAAGAGAGTGACAGCCATTATTAAATGTTATCTAGAAAATGGAATAAAAATGTATTTAATAGACATTTGAATTAATAGTTTCCAAATAGAAAATCATTTAAAAATTTAATTAAATTATCATTTAAAAAATTTATTCTGATTTAGTATGTCAATATTAAAAATGTAACATTTTTATTATTTAAATATTTTTAATTTTATATTTCAAACAACTAGCTGCATGTCAAAATTTTAAATTCAACAACCCATTTTTTTCAAAAGTGGGTCACTCCTCCACTTAATAAGCAAGTACAGTTCCTTCAAATATTCTCATATATTTCCAGTCATATAATGATAACTAATATCATAAAATCAATGAAATTTTGAATACTCTTTATAATTTCCTTAAAAAATTTGGGACAATAATTTTGAAATATTCAGGAATTTCACAAAATTTGCATGATTTCCTATAAATCCTCTTTTTTTCTAATTTATAAGCAACTTTTACTTAAAAGCATTTCAAACAAACTCATTTCCAAATTTATACATTTTATAAGAAAAATAAAGTCTTGAACTTAAAAATAATTCATTGTCACTAAGAAAAAAATATCACTAAAAATAAAATGTATTAGAAAATCAGGAATTAAAGACAATAAGACAGAAATGAAAAATTATTTAAATTATAACACTTTTTAACTTTTTATTTAAATATTATAAAACATGGTGCAAGTTGTCAGATATAAGGTTATTGATTTTATTAATAAAAAAATATAGCTTTTAATTTAAATTGCGTTTTAAATTTATTTCTTCGAGCTATTGATACAAAAGATTATAAATTAATCACACAATCAAACACAAAAGAAACTATTTCTTTTAATAACTCGATTATTAATTAAGTGATCGTCCTTTAAAACATATTCAGTATTATCAAAATTAATTCTAGAAAATAATTAAAAATTATAAACTCTTAAAATGAAACAAATTCGTGCTTACTTTCACGTGAAACTAAATTAAATTATCAGAACAAAATTTGCTTATTATAATGTTTATCCCGACACTTAAACATAACATTCCCGTCTGCTCTGAATAAAACACAGACATTAATCAATCTCAAAATAAATTCAAGCTCCACTACGAATCAACTTCAAGGTAAAAACTGTAATGTATTTGACAAATCGGCAGAATACGATAGAAACAATACCAAGGAGGTAAGAAAAAATTTACGTAAGTTGATTTTTATAACCTTCGCATTGTTTCCAAAATAACTGAATATTGTTTTGAAAACTGAAACCAGAAATAAAAGTCAAAACATCACTCATTCGTGAAAAAATAATGCGCATGCGTAGATACATAATTCAAATTTAAAAAAAGATGCATGTGACGTAATTTTTTGAAATTTGATCAGTTCAAAACAAAACTGATTGTTGCCAACCTTCAGAAAAAGTTTAAAATTCATATTTGTTTTATTAAAAATGGCAATAGCAATCTCGGAATTAACATAAAATGAAGACAGGTTTTGTGTTTGTAAACAAACAAAGTAATGTTTCCTTAGTTTTCACTAATATCTATGAATTTCTTGAAATTTGGAATTTATTTTGCTGATCATCATTTTTATCATGGGAGTTAGAGGCTTGAGTACTTTTTTTAATAACAATCCAGATTTAATGAAGCCATTCAAACTGCATGACACGACTATCATTATAGATGGAAACAATCTTATTCATTTATTATATTTTAGAAGCAAAGTTGATTGTATGTATGGTGGGGATTACAACAGGTACTTTTATTTATTCTTCTCATATTTTCTCAATAAAAAGATTTCAATCATACGATGACAATTGGCTTATAAGTGTGATACTTTTTGCTGTCTCATTATGCTCTTTCTTCAAAATATGACTTAACTACCATTCTATAACTGTTCTATCCTTTTCAGTTTTACAATTCTTCGTGCGGTTAGAAATTCCTATATGATTGTTAATCATCAATATCTTCATTAATGCTATTTATTTCAAATTGAAGGAATTAAATCCATGATTAAAGTTGGCTTATAATTCTGCATAAAACTGCTATAAAAATAAATTCAAAAAAGATGTATTAATGTTTACGTATGTGCTCTACCTCTCTTCTATAAATTTCTTTCTACTTGATTTTTTTTTTTTTTAAATATTACTTTACAAACATTCTCTTGATAATTTAGCATTTGTGAAATGTTATTGGTAATTCTGAGTAGGTTTGTACATTTTTATTTTAACTATGTGTCCAATCAAACAATTCTCCAATTTTTTAAATAAATTAAACAAATGTAAGTAAAAAAATAGTTTATGCTTATTTTTAATATACACTAACCATGACCAAGTAATCATAATTGGAAATTTAAACACTAATTCTTAATTAACGTTCTGCATGATTATATAAATATAGTTAATATTGTGCATAAATATTATTAACTCATAGCTAGTAAATTTTATTTCAAATAATTTAAGTTTTTTTCCTTCATATTTTCACAAAATAACCCAGAAAACATGTGATAAATTTCTTTGTTTATGTTCAAGAATAAGTTTTAAATTAGAGGGTATTAATAAGAAAAATTTAAAATTTTAGATACAACTATTCATAATATCATTAAAATGTGTGCATCATAATTTCAAAAATACTATTTAAAATAAAATGAAAACCAAATATCACAGCAAATGCTAATTTTGCTGTAGATACATAGATGATTATATGGTATTAAATGAACTTCCTAAACCCATTTACTGTGAGACTAATTAGGTGCCTTTTTCTTATTTCTCTTTTCTTATACATTTTTTGCATTTGAAACCTTGTTTATTTATTTTTCTCACATAAATAGAAAAAAAAATTTTAATTGTACAAGAAATCCTTTTCAAGATTTATAATTTTTATGAGTAATTTTAATATTTAATTAATTGCATTATTTTTAACCTGCAATGAAAAACGTTTTCCACACATAATGCTACATAATCTATATTATATATATTTGGTACAGAAAACTAAAACTTTGACTGAATTAATTAACAAAAATAATAAAAATTTTGAAAAGCTCCTTAGAGTACTAGTTTGAAATTTGACATTAAAACTTGAAAATTGCGTGTACACATGGGAAAATTATTTATTTAAAGTTAATTTTTTTCTTGATTTTTCTCTTTTTATTTTATTTTTGCAGTGTTGAAATAAATGAATTTCTGTCTGTTGTGTAGTGAGCATGTAGCAATTTTTGATTTAAAAAGTAAATCAGAGAACAAGTTTTGGTAATTATGTGCATAAATTAGTTGGGTGATTATGTGTTTGAACTAGGTAGGCAAACATTTCAACTGGGCATAATTCTATCCTAAAGAATTTGAATTTAGTGTATCAACATAATAATGTTTAGTTTATCACAATGATAATGTTCACATAATCCATAATTTAAATTTTTATTTACACGAAGAATTTCATTTATCTTAAGGAGAGAAATGAAAAATAAAAACTGATCAAATTAAAATAATAATAATAAAATAACTATATAAAAAAAATTTGATAAATAATAAATTTTGATAGTTGTGGCTTATAATTGATTTCTAAATGTTGCTTAAAGATACAAAAGCGTAATTATGTTATTAATGTGTATTTTTAAGAATAAATTAACTTCAATCGTGAAAAGTTTCTATTGCATTTATAATAAATGCTGAAAGGACAGTGCTGAACTATCTCCCACTGAAGGCTTTTACAATCAGACGTACTAAAAGCAGTATACGGGGTTCCCACGGTACTTTAAAAACCTTGAAAGTCCTTGAATTTTGTTGAAAAAAATCAGGGCCCTGAAAAGTCCTTGAATTCTGCCATAGGGTACTTGAAATGTACTTGATTTTTTAGGAATTAAAATAATACTAATCTTTCTTACAAAAAAGCAGTAAAAAAATAATAAATAAATTCAACGGAAAATTATAGAAATTCTGATCGATGCAATTTTTAATGCTTGAAGTGAAAAGGGGTTAAAGAAGATGCAAAACTTTTCTCTCCTAGATTTTTCACACAAGATTATTGTTCATCTCTCTGATGTTTTGAAAGCTGAACTTTCTAGCAAATTTTATGTTTTTATAGTCATAGTTTCTGAATGACATAGAGTGTTTAATCGATTTAGAAATATGTTCAATGTGTTAACTTCGTTATTACGACAGGTTAATATTGTTATCCTATTTTTCTTTTAATTTACATACGAAGGATAATTAGTTTTTCATTATTTATAATCAAGTTTTTATATTTAGTTTTTACTGCTAATAAATAAAATTTAGTTCTACAGGTTTCATTGATTATGAATAAACATCATGATTCACAGATCGGAATTCATATAAAATGTTCAACGAATTGTCATTTAAATGAAAGTGATTAATGAATCACATATAGAATATTACTTTAAAGTGTTGATTACTCATCAGGATTCACACATCTTGATTTCAATTAAAGTTATTTTTGAATCGTATTTAAGTAATTACGTATTTAAGTAATGTCAGAAAATTGCCTCACAATTTTCATTCCAGTAGTTTATAAATCACGGCATTGCAATTCACAACAGAGAGATTTAAGAATCACATATGGCTGTTCTATATTAAGCACCTTTTGGATCACAAATTGCAGTTTTCATCATAATGATTACAATTCATATGAAAACTATTATCTAATTACGCAACAAAATTCATATTGAAGTTATTTATATTTCACGCATTGTAATTTACGTCTTGTTAGTTAGTGCGTTTTGTATCATTTGCTATTCATATTGTTCCGATTTAAGAAACTTAAACAGCAATTCAATTTCAATTTACAAATCACTCATTGTGATATGTGATTTACGTAATCTTTGAGACTTACTTCACCTTTCTTATATTTTTGATTTACATATAGTATATCTAGATTCGTATAAATGCCATTTAAAAATTATGCTCAGTGAAAATTAAGCTTATTCACAAAATTTTAAAAATCACGCTTCACATTTTATGGATATATTTTAAAGAAAATAAAACTTGGTAAGTCTTAGTTTTCTGTAAAATATTGCTCTACAATAGATTTTATTATGTTTAAAATGCATTACTCATTTTCTGAGGTAAAAAAAAGATTATTTGTTATTCAAATTGAAACAGATATGTTAAAGCGATATATTTTGATATTTTATCTAATTATATGCATTTCCTATAACCTAAAATTTTATCTAACATATTAAAAAAATTATTTATATTTTAATAACCATGCAATTACACAAACTTTATGAATTATAATATGCTTGTTTAATGTAATATGCATTATTCATTCACTCAATTTCATTAATTCACTTTTTCAAGAAAAGTTTCACTGATGCTAGTTTTTAAATGTTGGCTAGTATCCTATGTCAATTGGAGTTTGTTTTTTTTTTGTCAATTGGAATTTTTTTTAAGTGATTTGAAACAGCAATGTAACTATCAACCATTTGTATTATTAGATCATAAATTTGATAACTAATTTTTTTATGTTTTCAAATAAGCATTGTGCTTTAAAAATATATAATTTCTGCTTCTACGTAATTGTAAAATCTAGTTGACATACTGAATAGGTTCTTGAAAAATGTGATTTTAGGTCCTTGAAAGTCATTGAAAAGTCCTTGAATTTTTTTTAAAAAAATTGAGTGGGAACCCTGAGTAAGAATTAAAAGAAAAGATTGCTCAGAAGTTTTATTTCTTGTAATATACTTGTGTTAACAAATAAAATTTGAAGTGAATGTGCAATTTTTTAAAAAAAAAATTTGATGTTTTTGCTTGTTGTAGGGCTGAATAGTTATCAAAACTGTTATCCAACAAAGTATTAACAAAAGCGAAACACTGATAAACTGACGTAAAATGGTATTTCTTGATGGTGTTCGATGTCTAGGAATTTTTTTCCCTTTTTTTTAATAAAAAAGATTAAAAAAGAAAAATAAAGAATGTCTTTATAGTCATATTTATTTTCTATGAGAGGAGGAGGAGGCTGATTTACTTGTTTTTTTTTTTTTTTTTTTTTTTTTCCATCACTTGTAAGAAAAGATATAGATAACTTAAATAAAAAAGCATAGATAACTCCCTATCTCACTTTCTGTTTGATTTTGATTTAAAAATGCGATATCAGTTCTATTTATCAGTATCCGTATTAAAGTCTTCCTGCGTTTATAAAAAGCTATTACATAATAAACTTAATCAGATTATTAGCAGATGTGAAAATCAGGAAAATTTCTTTTTTTTTTTTACTTATTCGAAATAAACTTTTCAAACTTCTAAATTTCTGAAAATTATCATTAAAAATAAATATGTGTCGCTTTTTTTCTTAACACTTATAATTTGATTACTACTACCACCCCGTAGAAATCTGCAGTTGTTGATTCATACTTTTATCAAGAACGTGGACATAACGTCAATTTTTTTTAATTTTTTGTAAAAATACTAATATACAAAAAAGTAGAAAACAATTAAATTTTTATTACACCTAAAATGAGAAAACGTAGCTCTTGTCACTTTCGGGATTAACTACTTTTATATCAATCAATACCGAAATTTCCCCTTTTTAGTTCGAAAATAATGCGTCCAACAATTGTCTTAAGTTCAATAAAATTATTTTCCTAATTAGAGTTCATTTGAAAAACATAGTTTTTATTTTATTATTTATTTAGCTCACTGTAAAAGGAATATAAGTAAAAGAAATGGGGACTTAAATATAACAACAACAAAAAAACATACACTTTTTTCCATTATTTTTTGTAAAAAATCGTTTAATGATAAA